AAAAAGAAAAAAATAAAGAAAAATATAAAATAGAAAAACAAAATAAAGATAAAGAAAAAAAAAAAGTACGTTTTAAACAAGAAGAAATAACTTATGAGACTATTTTAAATTATTTCATTGAATCCTTTAATAATGAAATAAACATAGAACATGATGAACTCTGTCAAATATTAACAGGCAAGAAATTTTATGATATAGAAAGATTAGCAAAAAATGCCACAGAAATTACTCATTACTCTATAATGAGTAAAAATATTCAAAAGGAAAAAGAAAGTTTTTGTAAAAATTGTGGATATACATATAATTATGATGATTATACATTCATGTATATGAAGATCTTTAATTTATTAAAAATGGGAGAAAAGGAGTTTGCATTTGATAGTATCAGATGTATTTATTGTGGAACGAAAATAGATGATATAGAATTACAAAATAATTTTAATGATAATGAAAATTATATTGAACTTCATTCCTATAGAGAAAAATATATATTTGATAAAAATAAAAAGAAATACTGGAAAAATAAAATTACTTCTTTTGATAAAAATACTTCATTATTTAAAGAAGAGAAAAATAAGACATATAATATAACTTACGAAAAATGTACTGATTGTGGTAATGACTTCTTACATTTTATAAATATTCAAACAAGAAGTGCTGATGAAGGATCTACTATTATTTACTTTTGTCCCAATTGTAAAAAACAAACAACCGTAAATAATTAATTTTGTGATACTACTAGTATTACTTTTATAATTAATTTAATTTAAATTAAATATAAGGAAATAATTATACTTTTATTATATCAATATTAATTAAATTTTTATTATTATAACTAATTTTATAATTATTGAAATTATAAACATAATTAATGATATTATAATTATTAAATTTGTAAAAAAACTTTATATATATATATATATATATATATATATATGAAATTGTTTTTTATATATTTTACCTATATGATTAATAGTATTATAATTTCTATATACTATTTTATACTTTTCTTCTATATATATATATATAAACACTTTTATTTATATATATTTTTTTTTTAAATCCTATTATATGTTTTACACATGTGTGTATACTTTTTATAAAATTGTTTATATTATTGTTATAACTTTCATTAATTATTAATAATATAATTTATTTTATTCGAAGCATAATAATTCATATTAAAACAACTTAATATTATAAAAATTTTAATATAAATGTTTGTATATTTTTAAGTAAATTATCAAATTTTAAAAAAGTTATAAAATTAATTTTCGTAAGAATATAAACATGGAAAAAATACGAAAAAGTAATACATATAAATGTATATATATATATATATAAATTTGAAAAAAATTAAATAGGAATAATCTGAAATAATTTGGTAAATAATTTATTCAAAAAATAATAGAAGCTATTTTGTTTTGAACAATTAATTATAAAATGAAATGTATGAATTGAAAAAAATTCTTATAATTTTCATTAATTTTATTAGTTTATTCATAATTTATTTTATATCTATTTTTTTTTTTTTTTTTTTTTTTTTTTTTTATTTGTTGTCTTAATATTTAAATTTATTTATGAATATCTATACTATCTTTTTTCTGTTTTTTTTGCGTTTTCTTTTTTTCTCTACTTAACTTCTTCCTTACAGTTCCTCCCCTGTCTCTTCTCATTTCATAAATGATTTTATTATCCTTTTGAAAAGAAAAATTTATGAAAGACTGATTCAAAAAACAAAAATTATCATTGAATGCACAACTTTCCGTATTTAATGAATTTTCAAAATTGGCTGAATATAGTAATTTGTTTACTAAAATGTTTTCTTTTTTCATATAAATATTCTTTACATTCCATATTCTTTTAATATTTCTGCTTAAATTAACATACATTTTTTTTTTAAAATAATTTTTTGCATTTTTTATCAATTCAAATTTTTTAAATAAATTATTTTATCAGTATAAATTTTTAAAGAAATTTTTTTAAGCAATTTTTTTAAGCAGTTTTTTTAAGCAGTTTTTTTATGTTTCATTGTAAAAATTAAAAAAAACTTGATCTTTGTTTTTTATGAATAAAAATAAAAAATTTTTTTTTTTTATAAGTTTTTATATTAAGATTATAATATTTTAAAAAAAAAAAAAATTTATAAAAAAACTTTAAAAATAAAATTTTTTATGAAAAAGGGACAAACATATAATTAAAAATTATTTTCGAAATTATTGTATGCCTTAAATCATAAAAAGGTAAATAATTTTACATAAAAAATATTCATTACATATGGAATTTATGAGTATGAACTTGTGAAAATAACACTAAAAAAAATATGATTTTTTATATTAAAATTTTTTCAAAAGTAAAATTAACTTTTATAAAAATATTAATAAAAATATATAAAATGAAATACTTATTTTTTAAATATCTTATTTAAAATTTATTTTATGACTTAATTAGATTTGTGTCAATATATATATATATATATATATATAAAAAAAAAAAAAAAATTATCGAATTGAAATTTACACTTAATAATTTTTTAATCTTATGCTTATAATTTTTTTTTTTTTTTTTTTTAATGATATCATATTTATTTTTTAATTCTTTTTCTAAAAAAATTATTCACATTTCATTAATTAATAAAACATTGTACAATTATATTAGTATTAATTAGCATAATTGTTATTATAGCTTCACAAATATATATTTACTTATATACTTTTATATATACTAATATATATAGAGATTTAAGTAGTAATATACATCCTTCTTTAATTTAAAATACAAAATTTTTGTTTTTTTCCAAGTAAATGTTTATGCATATATATATATTTATATATATATATTTTTATTATCAATTATTATATAAAATATTATATTTCTTAATTCTACATTATTAAAAAAATATGTTTATTAAATTTTTCATTTTCTATTTTAGAATATGATATAATGTTTATATTATAAAAAATAATATATATATTTTTTATTATAATAAAAAAAAAAAAAAAAAAAAAAAAAAAAAATTTTATTTTATTTATATATATAAATATGTATATCTTTAAGAAAGTATAATTAAAAACACTGTAACTTTTTTTATTTATACCCTTTAATAATAATTTTAATAATTAATTAATTATATATATATATTAGACAATAATATTTTAATAAAATTTCTTTACATAAATTTATTTTATAATTTTTTAATGTTGTATATAACTTTAATTTAATATATATATATATTTATACACTCTTTTATTTATAAATATGCTTTATAACACTTTTTATTTTAAAAATTTTGTAACTTTCATCTTTTTAATTAATTGAAAATTTGTTAATAAGATTAGTAAATAATGTTATCATATTTTTATTTTAATTTAATGTAGTTTTTTTTTTTTTTTTTTTTTTTTTTTTTTAAAATTATATAAATTTTTCAATTTTTAAATAAATGAAACATATAAAAAAAAGTAATTAAATATGAAGGATTAATTTATAAGAGAAAAAGAAAAGAAAATGTCAGAATTAAAAAAAACAGACTAAAATTTTTATTAAGTAGTAATAATAATAAAAATAATTATATATATATATATATTCAGTGAACAAAAAGATAAAAAATAAAAATAAAAATATTTAAAATAATAAAGAAGATGGAAAACAGAACAATCAATATTCAAAATATAGTGTACAGTAGTACAGTATCAAGTAAGAAATAAATATTTTACATTTATATTTTTTATATATTTCAAAAAAATAAAAATAAAATATTATAAAAAAAAAAAAAAAAAAAAAAAAAAAAAATTACATAATTATAATTATTTATTTTCCTTTTTTAAAGGTATTTTTGTTAGTCTGATTTGTACACCACTCGATGTAATAAAAAATTATATACAATATAACAATAATATAAGTTTTGATAAGAAGTATATTTTAAAAAAAATTACAAAAAAAAAAAAAAATAATTTATTAAAATTTAACTCTTTTTATTATCAAACATTTAAAAACATTTATAATAATTATGGGATTAAAGCAATTTATAGAGGTAATATAAATATTTTAATATAAAATTAATTTATTTTTGTAATACTTAATATGAAAAAGACATTTTTTTTTATTTTTATTTTTTATTACTTATTTCTAATTTTTTTAAAAAATTTATTTAATGTATTATCTTCCTTTTTTTATATATAGGTTTAGTTTCAACTACTAATTTGTATGTAATAAATAACACCTTATTTTTTTATGTGTATGAAGAATTAAAAGAAAAAGGAATTCCTTATTATCTTAGTGCAACTATTTCACGATTTATTTCAATAATAATTACGTCACCATTAGAATTATATAAGACAAATATTCAGGCGAATGTTTGTAATAATTATAAAATTACAATATTTGATATATTTAAAGATAAAAAAAATAGAAAAGTTAAAATAAATATATATAAAGGTATTACATCAACACTTATTAGAGATATTCCATTTTCAGCTTTATATTGGTCACTTAATGAGTATTTAGTTAGCTATATAAAAAAAAATGATACTGAATTTGAAAAAAGAAAAAAATTTATTAAAAAATTTGTGTATCCATTTATATGTGGATGTTTAAGTAGTACCATTACTACTTTTATAACCCATCCACTGGATATTATAAAAACAAATATGCAAGCAAGATGCATTGATATTATTCACAAAAGTGAATTTGATTACAGAAAAATAAAAAACTATGATATCTATTCGAGAAACAAAACAAACACTTTTTATAATATATGTCAAAACAATCTATATAATAACAAATATATATGCGATGTGAAAATAAATAATTATGCTCACAATAATCATAGATCAATTTATTATAAATATGGATCACATAAATATGGTTGTAACACCTATAGTTATAAATATTATAACTATTTTAAATATACAAATAATTCTAATTATAACATTTTTTCAGTTTCTAAATTTATTTTTAAAAAAAATGGAATAAAAGGATTTTATATAGGAATATTTCCAAGACTAGTAAAAATAGTTCCTACTTGTGCAATCCTTTTTTCAACATATCATTATTTTAATTACTAATTTATTATTATAATCATTATGTTTTGACTCATTTTTACATACTTTTTATATTATATTTATATAAAATACATTAATTTATTATATCTTCCCTATTTTAAACATTAACTTATTAATTTGATATATATATATATATATATATATATATATTTTTTTTTTTTTTTTTTTCATAAATATATTTTTATTGTTTTTGTTAATTTTAAATGTATATATCTCTATAAATTAAAGTAATCATATTCATGAAATTGTTATAAAAAAAAAAAAAAAAAAAAAATTAATTTTAAATAATATTATAATAAATTTCCTTTATTTTTTTTAAAAAATCGTTTTTTATTATTTCTAAAAAAAAAAAAAAATGTGTCATTAAAACTTTCCCAAAAATATACAAGGAAAATAATTTTTAAAGTTGTATATAAAAAATATATTCATTATAATCCTATAATTTTTTTTTTTTTTTTTTTTTTTTACAAAAAAAGTATGTTAATATTTATGCATTCTTCTATACATAATTGGAAAAATTACAAAATTTAATCTTTCTCTTTATAATAAATTAAATGCAGATGTTCCATATTATTTAAATATTATGTAAGATGTTAAGTTTTACCACTAAAACTCAAAAAATATTAAGTATTCTTTTTAATTTTTTTTTTTTTATTCTTATACAAAGAGAAAAAAAAAAAAAAAAAAAAAAAAAAAAAAAGNTTTTTTTTTTTTTTTTTTTTTTTTAAAAAAAAAAAAAAAAAAAAAAAAAAAAAAGAAAAAGAAAAAAAGCTATTTACACTTTCATAATACATTTTAAGTATATAAAGATCATTAAATTATTTATTTTTTTATTTTATTTTTTTTTTTTTTACTTTATATGCATGCATGTCTTAAAATAAACTAAATGTTTAGTTCTGAAAAAATCTGTTGTAATAACACTCTGTTTTTGTTCTTTTTATTTCTCTAAAGTGCTCAACATTGATTTTTTAAATAGGATATATTTTTAAAAAAAAAATTAAAACAAAGTATATTATTTATTACAATATAATTTCCTATGGTTATATTAAGTAAAAAATAATAACTATAGAACAAAAAAAATTTATCATTTTTTGCTCTTTTTTTCTATTTTTGAAAAATTAAAGAAAAAAAAAAAAAAATAAAAGAACTAAAACATTTTTTTATTTAAAGATATTTAAAAACAAGTGTGTTAATTATTTTGAAGAATTAAAAGTTAAAATTTTTCCCTTTTTTTTTTCTTTAAATAAATATATAGTATCATTGTTTAAATATGTGTTATTTTGAAATTACAAATATTTTTTTTTTTACTTTTTTTATTTATTTTTAATGTTATTTTATTTTTATAGACATAAATATTATCATTATTTTAATCTTTTCATTCATCTCACACATTAAGTTTAAAAAAAAAAAAAAAGATTATATTAAAATTATATATTAAGTAAAATATTTTATTTTGAATCTCATTTAATTTTTAGTTATCAATTTTTTCATATTTTCATATATACTTGAAAATATTTATTTAGTTCCATATGAAATGCTTTTTTTTTTTTTTTTTTTTTTTTTTTTTGATAACAAAATAAAGTAGCAAAAATATCATTTCATTAAACAGAATAAATAATTGTCATTTTATCATTTTATCGTTTTATCATTTTTTTTAAATATATTTTAAACACATATTTTTCTTTAAGTTTTTTTAAATTATACACTTTTTTTTTTTTTTATGATTTACATGTAAAATTAAATAGTGATTTTTCATTTTACGAAGATTATATAATATATATAGAATAAATCTGTTTCACATATAAATTAAAACATTTGATATAATTAAAAAAATATGTTAAATTCATATATATTTATTTATTTATATTTTTTATGTGTAAAACGCTTTTTTAAAATGAATAATAGTTTTTATGATAACTTTAATTTTATTCTTGATTATATATATACATATATATACTTTTATTTTTTGAACATTAAGAAGATTATTTTTTTTTTACTTATTTAAAGAATATCATAATTAGTTTTTTTTAGTGGAAATTAATATTGTTAATAGTTTTTTCTTTAAATATTCATTTTTTTTTTTTTTTTTTTTTTTTTTTAATCATATAGGAACTAATTGTTAAAAATTAAAATTCTTACAATTATTTGATTCTTTTATAAATTGTAGAATAAGTAATACTTATATTCACTTTTTATTATAATTAATATATGCTTCACTTAGATTTAAAAAAAAAAATATATAAACTTAATATTTTTTATATGTTTGTTATTTCTGTTACAATATTTTTTATTAATTTACAACTAAATTTTTTCTAACTATATAAATCTGTAATTTTCATTTTGTTTTACCAAATATATATGTTAGATAATATAATATTATAATTTATTAGAATTATTGATAAAAAAAAAAAAAAAAAATATATATATATATTTATTTTTTTCTAATGTACATTTATTATTTTTTTTAATTTAGCTTAAGATATTTTAATCTTTTTAAAAGTTTATTTTAATCTATTATCATATTATTCATATAGTGATTATATTAGTAATAATTTATGAGAAATTCTGAAAATACATAAAAATATTTAGATTCTTATTTTAATATATTTTATTAATTTAATTGTGTACCTATTTTATTTTACTTTTTTTGTTTTTTTTTTAATTATATCCATCATAATATAATATATATAATAAGAAATTTTGCTAATATAAAGTAATTTATTTTCCAATATATTTAATTAAATTGTGAGAAAATCTATATATTTTTTAAAGATTAATTATATTATGTTAAGAATTAAAAGTTAGATTGATATTTTTTTTTATATATTATTAAAAAAACAACTATGAATAATGTAATACCCGATATTTTGAACTACAAAAGCAATAGTTCTTCTATTGATAAACAAGAAAAAATTACTGACTGTTATGAAATGGAAAATGAAAAAATTTTTGTTTATCGTTGTAATATATGTCTGTTAGTATTTACATGTGTGTATTCTTTTGCAAATCATATATCTAATGAAAATCATAGAGTTAAACAATTAGATGCATTAAAAAAAGATAAATACTTCAACTGTTTGAGATGCAAATATATATGTCTCAGTGTTGTTAAAATAATTAAACATATAGAATTATATAATCATGGTCATAATATTTTGAAAAAAATTAAAAAAAAAATTCCATACACTGGTACTGTTAATTGTGCTTGTAAAATAAAGTGTTACTTTTTTTATTCTCAAAATAAAAATTTTCGAAATGTAGAAAATATCCAATCTACTAATAATAATTTATTAAATGTAAAATCAGAAATGAAAAAGAAAAACTCCTTTGAAGAAAAGTCTTTTCAAAATAAGGCTTATCAAGATAAAAATGAAGAAGATATCTCATTGGAAGAAAATAATGATTATATGAAAAATTATAATAACCAAAATCAATTTATTCAAAACAAATTTTTTGAACAACTTAAGGAATTAATGAAAGAAATTTCAACAAATGATAATATAAAAATACAATTTTTAAACTATTTACAAAAAAATTCATTGTATTCATATGATCACAACAACTGTTTTAATAACAATATCAACAGTAATAATAATAGCGACAGTAATGCTCACATTGAAGAACAACAACCACTTAATCTCATTTACAACTTAGATAATATAAAAGACTTGAATACTATTTTATCAAATTTAGATAAATATGAAGAAGAAGAAGAAGAAGAAGAAGAAAAAGAAAAAGAAATAAATAATACAAGAAATGATATAAAAAAAAATCTATTATTATATATAAATGAAAATACATATAATTTAAATAAAATAAAAAATTGTCATTCTAATTCTAATAATATGCAAGGGGATAAAAAAAATAGTTATTTACAAAATGAAGATGAATTAAGCATATATGATAATAATTTACATAGATTGAATTCATATTTTGAGGAAAATTATACCCAATTTAAAAATGGTGAATATAATCAATTTATGAGTGATGAATACAATCATAATTATTTTAAAAACGAAAGAAAAAATAGCTTATGTAATGAAGAAGAATTAAAAAAAAATAGAAAAAAAAAAAACCAAACATATTTGAACCTATTAAATAATAGTCTAAATGAACTTAAAAATTATTATGTATCCAATAATTTAAATAATTCTAAAGAAAATTACAATAAAGGATATTTAAATTATGAATCATTTTTTAAAAATAATGATAAAAGTTTTGATATTATTTCTAATGATGATTTTATAAATCCTATTCAAAAAAATGATGAGAAAAATAAAGATAATATTTTTTTTAACAATAAGAAAAATAGCAGTAAATCTATTATATTAGAGAATATATACAAAGATAAACAACTCGTAAATAATTATATAATTAATAATAATGATGAGAATATAATTAAATATAAACAAGAAAATATATATGAAAATGTACATCAAAATATAAATGAAAATATAAATAAAGATATAATCGATAATGTAAGTGAGAAAATAAATGAAAATGAATGTAAAAACTTAAATGAAAACATTAATAAATATAGTAATAATACAAAAAGTACAAATGATATAGAAGATAAAATAGATTTCATATATAATTCAAACTTCCATAATAATATAGTAAGAAAATATTTTTATGAAAATTTAAAATCAGATTCAAATGTTAATCAAATAAATGAGTGTGTTGTAGATAATGAAAGTTTAAGTATTAACAATGATAACTTTTTAACAAAATATAATTATTCTTTAAAAGAAACAGAAAAAAAGGATGATAATATATTAGAAAATTTTTATGAGAAAATGAGTGTTTTTGACAATTTAAAACATCATGAAAATATTCATAATATTCGTGAAATGGATTTATTTCATAATACTCAAAATATATACTCATATTTTAATGATGCACAATTAAATACTGGTAATATTAATAAAAACGAAAACAATATTAATAAAAATGAAAACAACATTAATAAAAACGAAAACAATATTAATAAAAACGAAAACAATATTAATAAAAACGAAAACAATATTAATAAAAACGAAAACAATATTAACAAAAACGAAAACAATATTAATAAAAACGAAAACAATATTAATAATGCTTACAATGCCTACAATCATAAAAGAAATTCTAATTATTTAACAAGCAATTTAATAGAATCTAAAAAGGAGATAAAAGAAAATTGTGAAAAAAAAAATTACATAGATGAGTATGAAGAAGAAATGAAAACAAAATTACTAAACCATTACAATGATAACAAAACAAATAACAAAAAATTTCCACAAATAAATATTTTTAATAAATTAGAGAATTCTAACTTATTAAAAAGTAATTTAGAATTATTTGATAATACTAATAAAATATATAGTAAAATAGATAATACTAATTATAATTTTATGAGTTTAAATAAATATAATAATTTAAATAATGATAATATATATAATAACATTCAACTTATAAATTTGCAACAGGAGAATAAAAAAAAAAGGGAAGAATATGAGTGTAAAAGTATTGATAAAAAGGACAAGAAAAATTTGAATATCTTAAAAAATGAAATTTTTAAAATAAATAATTTTAATAAAGTAGATCCATATATATCATTAAATCAAAATTATGATCCTATTTTAAACAAAAATGACAATTTATATAAAAATATGGATCATATCGATGAAAAAAACAATAAAAATACTTTAAATGAAATCTCTGATATAAAACAAAAAAGAAAATCATTCATTCAAGAAATAGATGAATTAAAAAAGATAATAGAAGAAGATAACAAAAATAATAGTAATACATTCAACCATACAGCTATTAATTTAAATAGTGATCAAAAATTTTTAAATTCAAATCATTTATTTAATGAAAAAAACAATTTAATGAATAGTGGTAATATAAAAAAATACCATACTGAACCTAATAATATAAGTAGTGACAATTATAATTCTTATAACATAAAAATAATGCGTAAAAGCAACACTGATTATTTTCAAAAATATGCATTCAATTCTTCTAATGAAAAATATATGGATTCTTCAAATGAAGAATTTAATAATTTTATATCTAATTTTAAAAAAGTAAACAATTAAAATTAATAATAATAAAAATATACATATATATATATATATATAAATTTTACATATTTTATTTTATTTTTTATAAACATTTAATTTTGTATATTAATTAATGCTTATTTTTTTATTCTTACATTGTCTTTTAAAATTAATTTTTTTATTCTATATTTTTTTTTTTTTTCTTTAATTATTAACTGAGATGCACGTTTTTTTAACATTTTGATTTATATACATATAAATTTATCATTTTTTGAAAAAATTAAAGAGAGAATTATAAATAATATTTTTTACAAAAAATTAATAAATAATATTAAAGTCTTATAATTTTTAAATCTAATTATATCATACAAAAATTCTTAAAAATTTTAAACTACAATAATGAATTTAAGAAATTTAAACTATATTAAAAAAAGAGAATGGTTAAAATAATTTAAAATAAAACAAATATACAATAAAACAGAATAAAATAAATACTAAGCAAAAATTAAAAGATAACAAATAATAAAGTAATCATAAAATAGAAATCATATATATTAATAACAAAAAAAAAAAAAAAAAAAAAAAAATCATATATATTACACATCATACAAAATATTGTTGATATAATATGAAATGAATTATTCTAATAAATTAAAAGAGATCTATATTTTTAAAATATAAAAAATAAATGAAAAAAATAGAATAAACTAATGTGCTTCTATTTCATTTTCTGATTTTACAATTTGTTCTTTAATGTAATTACTTAAAATGTAAAGCTAAAAAAAAAAAAATATATTAAAATGAAATTTATATTTTTTTTTTTATAAAAATATGTTATAAAATGAAGGCATATATATTTTCTTACATCTTTAGTTTCAGAAGTTTGATGTATTTTATGTATTTCTACAACTTCATCTAAAAATTTATTTATTATTTTTTCAAATTCGTTTTTATAATAAATACCCCCTGAAAAAAAAAAAAAAATATATTCGTTTTTTTATCAATCTTTTATATTATTTTTTCTTTTTATTTATTATATATTTTTGATAAGAATATATATATATATATATATATAATTTAAAAACCTTTTTTTAAAACTAAATAAATAAATTTTAGAAGAGATTCACAAAATTTTAGATCATAAGGAGGGGAACAATATGTCAATGTTTTCATTATGAATAATCTTATCAATGATTTATCTAATATGTAAACCTGATATAAAAATATAAGATTAATATTTATAGATTATTAAAATACTTTTGTTATATATATATATATATATATATATATATATATATATATATATATATATATATAATTTTTCTAATATTTATTAGAGAAATAAATGTAAAAATATACCATTGATTTAATTATATTTACTACATAACAAAACATATTTTCAAATCTAATTATGTAAACAAAAAACAAAATTATGTTTTCTCTTAATTCAGCATATTCTTCTAAAGCTTTTTCCTTTTCAATTATAAATATATATAATTCTCTAAAAAAAAAAAAAAAGAAAAAAAAAAGAAAGTATATATAAATAAGCAATTGTAAATTTTTTTTTTTTTTTTTTAAATCTTACTTTAAAAAATAAAGAGTTAGAAATCTTTTTTGAGGATATTTATCAACAATATATTTTAATAAAATAAGTTTTGGATATATTAGATTAATTTTGGATAAATTTACATATTCATAAATATTATTATATAAATATTTATAAATTATAGATGCTGATAAGTTACTATTAATCTTTCCAAGTAGTAATTTATCTTTGGTTACATCAGAATAATTTCCATGAATAATTTCATATATATGGAAAATTTCTTTTTGCATATATCTTATAAAATTATTATATGTTAATCTAAATTTATGAAACAATTTATAAAAATAATATTTTTTTTTTTTATTCATTTTATTTGTTCTTAATTTTTTTTTTGTTTTTATATTCTGAAATACGCTACTTTTTACTTCATCACATGATTTAACTTCTGTTTTTAATTCAAAAATATCATCTAAATTATTAGTCGTATTATTTTCATTTTTATAATTTAAAACTTGATTTATTTCTAATAATTCTGAATTATCATTTAATTTACCTTTGTTTACATCATGGTTAATTTCATTATTATGAGTTAAACTATTGTATTTCATCTCATTTCTTAAAAAAATACTATCCTTATCATGTAAGAATGTAGTGTTATTTACGTTACTTATGTCTTTTAATTTATTATCAACATTGCTTTCTTTATTATCCTTATTATTTACACTATTATAATTATCATTATTAAAAAAATCGATGTTGGCAGAAATATCTTTTGGATCATAAGAGTGATTCTCTTTTTTTTTTCTTTTTTTTTTATATATATTTTTAGTTAGAAGTTTGTTTTTTTTTTCATAAATTTTTGATAATTTTTCTTCATTATATACCTCTCGAAATTTTCTCTTATTAATAAGATTCTTATCAAAACATTCTTCTGCTTGTTGTTTAATGTGATTATTACTTGAATTATAATTATTTTGTCCTTTTTCAGATGTATTTAAATCAATAATAGATTCATTATTGTTATCACTATTGTGCTTTTCTTCGATTTTATAATCACATTCACTATCAGTTATATTTAAATTACAATTATTGTCTTTTGTATAAGTATTAAAATATATTTTATTATTTTCTTCCTTTTTTTTATTACTGGAAATATTCATTATATCCCTTTGATTTAATTCTTTTTCGTATATACTTTCATCTAACATATTATTATCAAAATAATTTTCACATTTATTATTTAATTCTTTTTCACCTTCATTTTTATTTTCACTGAAAAAATTACCTTCTTTTTTTAATATATATTTTTTTTTATCCAAATTATTTATTTTTAAAAATTTATATAACCGTATTTCATCTTTGTTTTCTCTTTCATTGTTATCACACTTATGTTTTATTTTTTTTTCTTCTACTTCCTCTGTTTCTTCTTCTTCCTCTTCTTCTTCATCTTCCTCTTCTTCTTCCTCTTCTTCTTCCTCTTCTTCTTCTTCCTCTTCTTCTTCATCTTCCTCTTCTTCTTCATCTTCCTCTTCTTCCTCTTCTTCCTCTTCTTCATCTTCATCTTCCTCTTCTTCTTCCTCTTCTTCTTCTTCTTCATCTTCTTCATCCTCTTCTTCATTTTCTTCATCCTCTTCTTCATTTTCTTCATCCTCTTCTTCATTTTCTTCATCCTCTTCATCATTTTCTTCTCCCATTTCTTTCTTTTTTTCGTTCCTCTTTTTTTTCTTCAAGTTAATGGATATGTTATCATCGTAAATATTAAAAAAAGAACTTGAATAATTTTTGGAAATTTTTTTTTTTTTTTTTAAAAAAAAAGAATAATAATAATTGTATACATATTCATAAGGAGAATAAGTAGTCAAAAAGATAAGAACCTTAGCATATATTTTATAAAGGTTATTAGAAAATAAATCATTATTAATAACAAATATATTTATAATATTGTTAATAAAAAAAATATCTCTCATATGTACAAGAGGGATTTTTTCTGCATAAATATTTATTCTCAAAAATTCTTTTGCATAATCAAAATTTTTGTTTCCATATTGAGATGCAGGAGGTAATAAAAATTCGCTCATAATACTTTTAATTTCTTTTTTTTCATAAATATCATTAATTAAAGAATTGTTCATTTCATTTTCTTCACAAATACAGTTATTGCTATGTTTAAATTTATTACTACTAATAGTGTTTGTGTTATTCTCATAATTCATTTTTTTATCTTTCATAATATCATAATTTTTAGAACATTGTAGTATATTTATGCTTTTTTCTTCGTTTGAATTTTTTCCATTATTTTCTAATACTTCCCTGTTATTTTCATTTGTAATATTTGCACTTATATGATGATTTTTTATATTTATATAACAATCTTCCTTATGGTTATATTCTTTATGTGATGGAATATTTTTTTCTTTAATTTTTCCCTTTTTCATAATTTGTTGAAAATTTTTTAAATTAAATAAGTATGTTGAATCAAATAGCAATAATTTTTTTCCATTAAAAATTTTTAAAATTCTTAAAATAGCATTATGCAAGTTTATTATATCTGTATGATTAATATTCATACATCCTTTATTTCTAGTCATATATATATTTTTAAAAATATTATATAATGAATTATAGTTATGTAAATTATTGATTTTGAAAATTAAATAAGAAATACTAACTTCATTTTCTATAATATTAGAAAAATAATTATTACATATATTATATACATTTATATCTCTATATAAAATGTAAAGACACAAATATTGAGATAATCTTCTCATGCTATTGTCATTGTTATTTCTATATATATATTCTAATATTAATTGAGCATATATATATGAGTTTTCACTAATACAAATATTTTTACATATGCTTAAAATTTCTCCTTCTTCTTCAGGTTCATCTAATAATAGAAATTTCTGTATTTCTTCACTAATTCGTAAAGTGAAAACATTAAAATTACTTGTATAAGTAGTTATATTATTATTTTTTTTATCTTCAAAATAATATTTATTAACAAAATCTTCATATAAACAAGATAAAAATGGGTCTAAATATCTTTCTTCATACAATTTTAATATTTCTCTTACTACATATTTACTTTTTAAAATTTTCCAATAAAAGGAAGGTGGTTTCCATGCATACATATCTCTATATTCATCCATATATTTCAGTAATTTATTTGTTTTATATTTTGTTGATAAAAAATCACATAATGCCTTGTATAAATAATGTAATGGATTATCAATTATATCATCCTCTTTTTTTATTTTTTGATCATGTATTTTTAATGTATCACATAAATGGTAATCGTTAACTAAATTCTTATCATCTAAAACTATATCATTAATTAAATTTAATTCATCTAATTTTTTATCATTTATATTTTCACAATTTATATTGTTCTCATTTAGATAAATATTAATGCAATTTAATTTTTTATGATCATAAACATTTTTATAATTTGTTTTCATTTCTTTTTTATCATTATTGTCACTATTACCTTTTTTTAAGTTATAACCTATATAAATATTTGAAAAATCCTTTTTTTTAACATTTTTTTTTTTCTCTCTATTCAGTAAACTGATGGATTTTTCATCATTTGAAAAGTTATCACTTCTTGGAAGAAACTTATTATCTTCATATAAATTATTCTTAACGTTATTATTATTTACTTCTATATTTTTAATTTTGTTATTTCTTTTAGTGAAATCATCCTCCATACTTGATGTTTTAATGTTATTCTTCAAATATTTTTTCTTTTCCATCATTTTTATCTTTTTTTTTAATCTTTTATTTACATGAATTTCACAATCGTGATTTGTATAATGTTCCTTATTAAAAAAACATTCATCATGAATTTCAGGATTTTCAGAAATTTTGTTTTTTTCATCATATTTTTTATTATTATTGCTTTTTATTTCATTATAATCACTAAAAACCCAATCATTACCATTGTCATCATTTAAATTAAAAAAATTATGGTTATTGAAATTATTATTTATATTATCATTATTATAAATATAGTTAGAATAATTATTGTAATAACAAAACAAATAATTGATATAATTTCTTTTTTTTACATTTCTTTTTTCTTTGTTTACTTTTTTTTTCATTTTATTGCAATATCTTTTCCTACAGCTATGTTCAAATTCACTAGCTTCTCTTAATTGGATTATTTCTTTTATAATATTATATATATCATTTTTTTTTAATCCATCTTTTTCTTCATTTTTACTTACATCATCTTTAATAAATCCATCTAACTTATTTAGATATTCTGACAATATTAAACATAACCATGAATATCCAACATAATTATCTATTAACTTATTTAATAGCAGTCTATTAATATTTTTAATTATTATAAAATCTTCTTGATTAAATTCATAATCTTCAATTATCTCATTTTTACTAAGAATTAAATCGTTATTATCATTTATTTCTTCTATATTCTTCTTATCTTCATTTTCTAAAGTTTTTTTTTTATTTTCATAATCATATAATGAATCAAAATTATTATTTTTAACACAGAAAAATAAAAAAGAACATACTCTTTTTAAAATTATGAAAATATCTTCATCTAATATGGCATCTGTTTCTTTAATAAATTCAATTCCTCCTAATGAAACAAAAAAAAAAAAAAAAAATAAAATATATAACAATAAAATATACAATAAAATTATAAAAAAAAAATATAAGTTATTTCATTAAATTTATATTTAAACGTATATATATATATATATATATATATATATATATATATATATATATATATATATATTAATTTATTATGTCTACATTTAATAAGAAATTTATTTTTCTAATTTAATTTTTTTGTTTACTACATTTATTATAAAATAATAAAAAATATATATTTTATGTAAATTCAAAAAAGTCTATGAATAATTACTTTGAAATTGATCAAATGAACAGTAACATAATCCTATACAATTTTTTCTCTTTCTTTTCATGATAGCATTTTTTTCTTCTTAAATTTTAAGTAAAAATGCAACGAAAGAAATTCATAAAAAAAAAAAAAAAAAAGGAAAAAGAATATAATTGTATACACATTTATTAAAAAATAATAAAAAACATTTAAATAAAAAAAATAAAATTTATTTATATCTTTTTAAATTAAATAAGTCTTTATCCTTGTAGGTATGTAAAAATGGGGTATTTATATTATTAATATTTAAATGAAACATAAAAATAATAAGTTTTTTTTTTTTTTTTTTTTTTCAAGCATTTTCCATTATATTAAATTATAAATATTTAAAATTAACTTATAAAAAAACAGATTAATAAAATGATAAAATAAAATATTATACTATTCTTAAAAGTTTTTTTTTTTTTTTAACTAAAATTATTTGAAATATATATCACTAATTAATAAAAATAATTTACTACTATCGACATGTTCTTTTATATATATGCGTATATAAATGTATATTTTTTTTTTTTTTTTTTTTTCAAACTTTTTCAATTTTCTCTTAAATTATATTTAATTATTAAGTGCACAAAAAAAAAAAAAAAAAAAAAAAANAAAAAAAAAAAAAAAAAAAAAAAAAAAAAAAAAAAATATATATATATATATATATATAAAATAAAAATAGAATATGCACAGTAATAAGAATATATAAAATGATAGAAATATATATTATAGGTAAATAAATATTTCATTTCAATAAATAAATTTCATTAAAATAAATTAATAAAAATATTAGTTATGTATTTTGTTTAATTTTATATATAAAATTTGTTATTTTATTATTTTTTTTTTTTTCAATGTGTAATAAATTATTTGAAATATTTAAATTTATTAAAAAAGATAATTTATATTTAATTTTTGTTTCTAAGTGTGCGTATTAAAAAATTTTGTTACTTTTTTCATTTTTTTTTTTTTTTTTTTATTTAAATATTATTTTATATATAAGAAAAATAATATATATATATATATATATATATTTATATATGTGATTGTATATTTTTAATTTTTTCAATTTTTTTTAAAATGTTTCTTATTTTGTTAAAAAAAAATGGAAAATAGATTTTTTAAAGGAAACAATAAAATTAAAATTTTTTTATTTTTTAAACATTGTGCACGTTTAATATATATATTCTTTTTATTAGAATTTTACTAAATATTGCTTAAACTGTTCAATATATATATATATATTTTTTATTTTTTTAAATAATATATTGTTTATATTTTCATTGTCTAAATTTTTTTTTTGTTACATCTTTTTATCTATATAAATAATATTAATCCTTTTTCTCTTTTTTTTTTTTTTTTTTTTTTTTTTTTTTATTGTATTTAAAAAAGTTTTGTTTTATCAATTGTTAATTTTTTTTTTTTCTTTTTCAAAAAATTATATTTTCAATTTTGTCTACTTTGAATATATACTAGGTATATATATATATATATATATATATATATATATATATATATATTAAAAGTAGACAAAATTGAAAATATAATTTTTTGAAAAAGAAAAAAAAAAAATTAANAATATATATATATATATATATATATATATAAATATATATATATGTACTTTTTTTTTTTTTTAATAAAATGTCTTTTATACCATCAAAAATTGAGTCTTTTGAAATTTTTTCTCCTAATATAAATTACAGAAATAGTAATTTTAGTATTAAACCAATGGAAACATTAAACAGTTCAAGAAATATTGAAAATATAAAAAAATTTAATTATATAAATAAATTTGATATTGATAATATGGAAAACATTAAAAATCCGGATGAAATAAAAAGAGAAAACTTTAATAACATTAGTGGTTCACAGAAATATGGATTAGTAAATCTAGAAAATAATTTATATATAAACCAAACAAATATTTTAGATAATGGAATACATAAAATCAAAGAAAAAAAAATATCACCTACTAATAAAAATAGCATGGATGCATTAGAAAATTTTTTTTCAGCCAGTAAATTTAAGATTGAAAAAATAAAAGAGAACAATAGTATAGATAATAATTATTTAAATAAAAATAAAAAAAATTTAACAAGTATATTACCATTTGATAAAATCGTTGAAGAATGTGCTTTGCAAAATTTATTGACAAAAAATCAAGTTCATGATTTATATAACCATCAAAATATTTATGATGAAAGAATAAATATAAAAGAACCATATAATGCATCAATAAATAATTACAACGAAAATAATATACTTAGTAAAGATTTTATTGAAAATATATCAGATAACCCATTTTCGTCATTATCAAAAGATCAAAGTTTTTTTAATAAAAAAGAAGATTATATTAACAGCTTAGAATCAGGTAATTTTAACAGTGGTAATATTTTTTATAATAAATATTCATCTGTTAAAAGTTTAAATAATAAAATGAGCCAAAAAATAAATGACAGCAATAATAACGGAAATGGTGATGGCAATAATAATAATAAAAATAATAATAATAGTAATAGTAATAATAATAATAATAGTAATAATAGTAATAATAATAATAATAATAGTAGTAGTAGTAATAATAATAATAATAATAATAATAGTACTACTACTACTACTAATAATAATAATAATAGTAACAATGATGAAGATGAAAATGAGGATGAATATAATAATAATAATTTATTTGAAGTTTATGATTATAAAAAAAATAAAAAAGTAATCTATTATGCTGTTAAAAATCATTATAATCCATACAAAGAAATGAGTAAGAAAGAAAAAAGAAATTACGAAGTTTATGATAATAAACTATATGAAAATGATATATATGATTATTTATTAAATCAATATGAAAAGAATTATAAGAATTTAATTGATCAAAGATTTCCTCCTAAAGGAAATTTTATTAATGAAAGACAAGAAATTTTCATAAATCAAATAAATTTACAGAAAAATTCATTGGATGATTGTAGAAATGAAGAAATTAATGAAAATAAAAAGGGTGAAAAAGAAACAAATACTAATGAAAATGTAGAAAGAAAAATTGAGAATATTAATGAAGATATTAGTAACAATCAAGAGAATAAAAATTGTAGTTGTAATAAAATTAATGAGCAAAAAAAAATTGAAAAAAAAGAAAGTGAAATACCTAAAATTAATTCTTATGGCTGTAAATTAAATCAAAAGGATACTATAGATTCTCTAAAAAAAAAAGAAAAAAAAAAATATAAAACAGATACAAGATTTTTAAATTTATATAATGATGATATATTGGATATTTATAAATATACCACAGATATATATACACATAAACCAAAACTATTTATATATTCACTAAAAGATAATAACGGTAGTAATAAAAATTGTGATAATACTTTAAAAATCAATAAGGAATTTAAAAAAATTTTGAAAAAACTGAAATATAAAAATACAGTAGTAATAAGTAATATAGGAAGAAAATGTGGATCTTCTACCTTTTCAAATTATATTATAAATAATATACAAATAAATAATTTTACTAATGAAATTAATAATGAAGAGGAATGCATATATTCATACGTCACATCTAATCAAAATAAAATCAATTACATTTATTTAGATTATGACAAATTAGCTGCAAAAAGAAATGAAGATGATAATAATAATAAAATAAATAAATTTGTAACCTTCTCTTTTTACTTTTCAAATATTATTATTTTTCATATAAATAATAAAAACTATTTAGATATATTTTACATATTATCAGATTATTATGATATAATTAAGAATATAAGAGAAAATATTAAATGTAGAAGAAAAAAGTATTACGAGCAGAAAAAAAAAAAGGATATCATGAAAAATAAAAGTGATAAATTTCTTAAACTTAACACAAAAAATATTAACAAAAATTCATCTACAGATATTAGTATAATGGATTCATCATACTCAGAAAGTGATGATTCAATTAGAGAGAGTTTTGACGAAAATAATTTTTATTTTCCTTATTTTATATTTGTTTTAAGAGATATGAATAGGAATGATTATATTAAGATAAAATCAAAAAGTGATATTAATGATACTAATAATTTTATGGATACTCGTAAATATTTTGATTCATTAATTTATAAAATAAATGATACAATTTTGCAAAAAAAAATTAAATATATTTTGAAATTTCTCACCAAAAAAATATTATTTTTTTTGCCATCCTTATATAAAAACAACGATGAATCTGTTATTAATTATGATTATATTTTTGAACTAAAAGATATTAAAAGAGAATTATACATTCAAGGAAAATGTATAGATAACATGTATATAAATAATGGAGCATATATTTACAAATATCTTAGCATGCTTATTTATACAATCAATAATGATATATTTTATAGTTCAAATTATTTAAAAAGTAAAATTGAAAATTTTGAAAGCAAAATGTTGCATGATATTCTAACCGAAAATTTTCTTCTTCATATAAGAAAAAAAATAGAAAAAAAATTACCTATGAAACCTAATTTATTTTTGACATTAACAAACGAATTAAAAATAGAATTCATATTAACATATGAAAAATTTTCAGTCGGAAATACATCTACGAAAAGGAAATATAAAAATCAATTATGCAACAACATTGATGTTATCATATTAAAAGCTTACAAAGAAAATATTGCATTTAGCTGTTATAGTTTTTTTAATATAATAAATAAAAAAATAAATGATTTACAAATATATAATAAAATAAATGATAGAGAATATATAGATTTTGAAGAATTATTGAAAGATGTATATAATATAAATGATAGAAAAATAGATAATTTCATTTATAACGAGATATTAAATATAAAAAAAGAGGAAATATTTACTCATTTTATAAAAAATTATTATGACAATAGCGAAAATATTTCTCCTAGAAATTGTGATAGGTATGATTTAAAAAAACGTTCAACAAATTATTGCAACTCAGATTCTACTAATGATCCAGATGAATTGAATAAAAAATACGAAAATGAGAAAAGTAAAAAATATAGTAGTATTAACTTAATTGCACATAATTTTGCTCCATCAAGTTTTAAAAGTTTTAAAAACAAGGGTGAAGAAAAATCTGTTAAATATGATAATATTATAAATAATAAAAATGAAGATGTGTTAGAATGTTTACAAAACCTTCATGAAGATAATAAAAAAGATATGAAAAAAAAAAAAAAATTTGGTTCATTTAATGATCAAGGTGAATTTTTTATAGATGCAGCTGATAGTTACTTTTATCAAAGTAAAACAAAAAATAGTAAATATGTGGAAGAAAAAGATCCTCCTAAATCTAAAACATCTTTAAGGAGATCATTTCATAAATTTAAATCTGATATGGGTTTGCTTGATGCCAGAAAAAAGAAAATTCGTAATGAGAATTATATTTCTAAAAAATATCATAGTTCTGATTATTTTAAAAAAAAAGGAGTTGAAGCAATAAATAAAAATTTGTTATTTTATGAAAACTCAGGAAGTTCAGATGATATTTTTGAAAAACAGAATGATCATCATATAAAACAGTATCCACGAAATTCTATGAAACAAAATCCTTCAAATAATATACAAGTTATTAAAGAGAAAACATTAAATTTAGAAAAAAATGAATCTAATAATAAAAATTTGTATTCTAAACGTACTACACAGAAAAAAAAGAGAAATAGTTGTTTACCTAAACATAAGTCTAAATCTAAATTTAACATATAATTTCCTTTTTTTTTTTTTTTTTTTTTTTTCCACAAAATTTTAAATTTAAAAAAATGTTATATATAGCATTCATTTATTATTTTTCGAATTGTGTTTTATAATTTTATATTTAATTATATATTTTATTAATTTATTGTTATTTTTTTTCTTTTTAATATATTTTTTTTTGTCCTTTTTTTTTGTCCTTTTTTTTTGTCCTTTTTTTTGTCCTTTTTTTTGCCCTTTTTTTTGTCTTTTTTTTTTGTATATGTTATAAATAATATATATATTATATAAATAACATTCTCTCACATTTAATAGAACGTTTCATGCAATAAGTTTTTTTTTTTTTTTTTTTTTTTTTTTTTATATATATATGCATTCTTTATATTTATTTTAGGGCTAATTGTATCTTTCTCATACATATGAAAATTCTCCTTTTTTCTTTTCTTATATTTATTTATATGAGTGTATATCTATATTATTATTATATTTTTTTGTTTGTTTTTTTTTTTTTTTTTTTTTTTTTTTTTTTTTTTTTTTTTTGTTTATTTGTTCTATGCACGTTTTTCCTATATAAAATACACTAAATATATATATATATATTTTTTTTTTCTTCATATTTTTATTATATTCTTTAACAAAAATGTTTTAAACTTTTGTTTTAAAATATTTAATTAAAAATAGAATGTTTTTTTTTTTTTTTTTTTCTCATAATGTAGTTTTTTACTAGTTATATTTTTAAGAAAAATATATTATATATATGAGATACGATTACTTTTTAAGAATCTATTTGGATTCTAATATTTTATAAAAAAATATATTTTGACAAAGTTTAAATGTATAGAATGTCTTAAATAAAACATAACTCTTGGGATTTGTATTTTTAAAAAGAAATTTCTTATACTTTTTTATTCAAACAATTAATATTAAAATAGTAAAAATACAATTGAATAACATATATAATATAATGTATGAATTTTTTTTTTTTATATTTATTTGAACGTAAAAAAGTTTAAATAGTAACAACTGTAAATAGAATATTTAGTTTATATATATATATATATAGAAGTGAAAACATTTTAAAAATATTTATTAAAAATTGTATTTCTAATAAATGGAGTATAAAAAATTAGAAATTATATATATTATAAATTAGTAACACAATAAAAATAAAACAAAGTAATAAAAACTTCATAAATAAGCATATGTAAATAAAAATATCAACATTAAATTAATAATTATTAGAAAAAATTAGAAAAACAAACTATAGAAGATACAAAAAAAAAAAATTATAAAATAATTATAAAACTTAAAACTCAAAATGAATTTTTTTTTTTTTTTTTTATATATATTTAAATAGAAGAATAAAATAAAAATGTGAAAATACTTTAATTTACTTTATTATAATTTATATAAAAATATTTTATAAGAATAAATATTTAGACAAATTTTTAATGGATAAACATAATCTTTATAAAAAAAAAACAAAAAAAAATTGGAATTTTATATAGTAAAAATAGGTTAGTTATGAAACTACAATGAACTATGCATTTTACTCCATTCATCATAATCAAAAACATTTTTATAAGATGTATTAACTTGAGTCATAGCTTTAATAAAATCATCATATTTAATAGCACGAAAACTTGAAGTACTAGGTATATTTTGTATTCCATTATATTGTTCAATTGCATCATCATATACATATTCATAACATTTTGAACAAAGATGATAAATATCACTACCATTCCAATGTTCTAATTTAACTGATATGGTATCTAATTCATTTTCTGTCATTTTAAATCCAGAATGTGTATGTTTTGAGATAATATAACGAATCTGTTCCTTTCTCGCTTGAAAGTCTGGTAAGGGAATATATACTCTTTTATTGAAACGTCTCAAAGCAGCATCATCTATCATATCAGGTCTATTAGTTGCACCAATGATAACAATAATAATATCTTTTTTAGTATTTATTCCGTCAATCATTTGTAATAATTGATTTTTAATTCGTATTGTTGTATCATCTTCATCTTTTTTCCTTGCACCTAACAAAGAATCAATTTCATCGAAAAATAAAATAGAAGGATTATCTAATTCTGCACATTTAAATAAACTTGTAACAATTTTTTCAGTTTCTCCAATATATTTACTAAATAATGAAGAGGTATTGACATTATAAAAAGAACATTTACAAAAAGATGCAACCCATTTTGCTATCATAGTTTTTCCAGTACCTGGAGGACCAAATAATAATATTCCTTTTGCAGCTCTATTTAAACCCGTAAATAAATCAGGTCTTAAAATTGCATTAACAATTTTATCTTTTATAATTTTTTTAATGTCATATAAGCCAATGATATCCGATTCTTTAACTTGTTCATTAGAACTCATTTTCATACTTAATGCATATCTTATTATATTTACTTCCACTCCTTGATCAATTAAAGGCCAATATTTTTCTGGTATTTCATCATATCCATCATTTGAATCATCATTATTTTTTTTTGAACTTTTTTTTTTTTCATCCTTTATTCCATTTTTATTATTATTATTTTTCAACACATTTCTATTTCTTTTTTTTTCATTAATATAATTAAATGCTTGAATTGCTTCCTCGTTCTTTTCATTTTTTCTTTTCACCAATACTTCATAAGCATTTGAAAAAGTATCTTTTTTTTTTGAACTCTTTTGAATATCACTATCTTCATCTGATAAATAATTTTTTTTTTTTTTTTTTAATTTCAAAGCTTTGGGAGTATAAATAGCATCATCACTATCTTCAGAAAAAAAATAACTTCTTCCTTTCTTATCTTCATCAGAATCTATTTTGCTTTTTGATTTGTTTTCATTTTGTTTTCCTTCTTCATGATCACTTTCAAATTTTTTTATATTAGTTGAATCATTCTGGATGTTATATTTGCTTTTATTCTCATTATTATTTTTTTCATGATATATTTTAATAAACAGTGGATTAAAATTCATAAAATTTTTAATATCTAAACTCTTAATACCACTAATAAAATTACTATTATTTTCAATTTTATTATTTATTTTTGTAATTTCATTATCATTTAATAAACTATTAGTACTGTTGTAATCTTCTAAATCTTCATAATTTTTGAAAATATTATTATGAGGATTTGAAAAAATAAAATTATTAATATCAATTACATTTTTATTTGTATCATAATTATTCAATTCATTTTCATTTAATTTATTTTCATATATATCCCATATTTCATTTAGTAATATTTCTTGAAAGCAATCCTTTTCTTTTTCTAATATTTTATTATAAATAGATTCATTAGTAAGTATGTCATTTATTCCATTCATATTATATGTCTTCAATGAAGCTTAAATTATAGAATAAAATTAAAGTTAATATTTCTTTTTTTTTTTTTTTTTTTTTTATATTACAAAATTATTCCAATTTTTTTGTTTTTGTATAATTATATTTATTATATAATCATATTATAAGCATATATTAACATATTTTTTATTTATTTTATGCTATTATTTAATATATATATATATATATAAGCGATTGCTAAAATATTAATACTTTTATATATAATATTATTCCATTAATTTAAAAAAATACTATAAATTCTATGAATTAATAAAATGTGTTAAACAAATAATTAAAAAAAAAAAAAAAAAAAAAAAAAAAAAAAAAAANAAAAAAAAAAAAAAAAAAAAAAAAAAGCTATATATATATATATATATGTATATGTAAATATACAAATCTTTAAAAATTTCTCATTATATATTTTTATTTATAACTTAATTTTTTTTATTTTTTATTAAAATTTGTTAATTAACAATTTTTAAAGTTTTAAAAAAAATAAAATAAATAAACACAACATAGTAATATAAAATAAGAGTAAATCACGGAAAAAAAAAAAAAAAAAAAAATAAAAAGGTTAAAAATTAAAAAAAAAAAAAAAAAAAAAAAAACACTTAAAATTTTAAAGAAAATTAAAATATTAACATGTTTTAACAAAAAAAAAAACTAATATATATATATAAATGTACTAGTATCTTCTTGAATTATAGTGTAAACTTTATTAACTATTATGTATTCATTTTCTAATTCATCTATATCCTTTTCATTATTGGTTGTATTTGTGAGAACATTCTTATTTAATACATTTTGAAAATATTTAGAATATATGTAAGTTTGAGCTAAGAAATTATTATAACTGTATTTAAATTCTTTGTTTTTTATCATATTCCTATTAATAAAATCTTTTCTTTTTTCTAAAGTGTCCTTTCCATTATATTTATTAAAAATATTAAATAGTCTCATTGTATTATTATTTATCTTATTAATCATTAAAATATTTGATTTATTCGTCTCAATGTCTGTAGAATGATTTGATGATGTTTTACAATTTTTTATAATATTAATAAAATAATTTTTCTTAGAATATTTTTTTAATTCATTCTCTTCATCTTTACGGAAAATAATAAAAAATGGATTCAATTTTTTTTTAAGTCTTTCTAAATTTTCATGTTCTTTCATTATTTAAAATATATTTTTTTATTTTTTTTCTTCTTATACCTTAATTTTTATAAGATTTGAAAATATATATATATTTACTAATTTACATATAACAATAAAAAAATTATAAAAATAAAGGGAAAATAAAAAAAAAAAAAAAAAAAAACTCTAAAATATATTTTATATATTTATTAAGTTTATAAATTTGATATTGACAACATTTCAAATGAATCTACTTAAAAAGGTGTAAATATACAGACAAAGGAACATGTAAATTTCTCTTTATAAAAAAAAGGAAAATAATTATATAATTATAAAATCTAATTATTTTTAGAATAAATATTATATTTAAAATTTATAAAGATATATAAAAATAGCAAACAATATATATTATAACAAAAAAAATGAATTAATTTTCATTTATAAATTTCTTTTCTTTTTAAAATTTTCTTATATTTTTAAGAAAAAATAATTAATCTATCCTTTTTTTTTTTTTTTATAGTTATCTTTAATTAAAAGTCATATCTGTTTTAAAATCAAAAAATTTAATATTGAAATAATGAATATTTTTATAGAGAACAAAGAAAATATAAACAATTTTTCATTTTCTAATATTTAGTTTTTTTTTCTTTTTTCTTTTTTTTTTATTTTAAATTTTAAGAAATATATTATATAAATATTATTATAAAATAATTTTGATTTCTACTTAAAAAAAATTAAGGATTTTTTCTTTCTTTTCTAGATGTTTTATGAGAACAAAAACCGTTGTAAATACTAATTCTCTAGTGATTTAAAAAAAAAAAAAAAAAAAAATTCCCAATCAAAAATTTTAGATGTGCATTATTATAAAACTATACAGTAGGAATTTATAAAACCAAAACCTACAGTAAAAAAAAAAAAATAAAATAAAAAAAACAAACAAAATTTTACTCCACCATATAAATATTTAAAAAAGCTATAAAAGAAAAATATTTAAAAATTTCTCTTATTTTTCTACTATAAATTTACAATGGATATATATGAAGAGGCCAACTGTTACACATAGATATTTAGATGCATTTTATATTCCGTGTGCAAATTAAACTTAAATAGAAAAAAAAAAAAAAAAAGAAGAATTACAATATACATATTTTTTTTTGGCTTATTTTAAGTTACTTTTAAAATTTTAATAAAAAAATCACCTCATTTAAATGTAGAGAAATGTGTAAATTAGTTATATATATATATATATATTTTTCTTCTTTTTTTTTTTTTTTTTAATTTTTATTAATGTAATTATTCCATTGAATAAAAAAAAAAAAAAAAAAAGTTAATGCATTATTTTTATGTTTTATTTCATTTTTTTTTTTTTTTTATTTATTTTAGATATGAATTGTGTTTTATAATACTATTAAAAATATAGAATATGTTGATGCGTGTATTTTAAAAGTATTTAAATGCGTAAATAAGATTCCTTATAAAATAAAAAATTATTGTGATAAAAAAGAAAATTAAAAAAATTAGAATATTTTTTGTAAATTTAAACTTTTTAATCATATAAGTTTAAAAATTAAACTATTTCTTAATACTTTAGGTCATTTTTTTTTTTTAATAATTATTTTTTAAAATTAAAATAATAGAATTAGAGGTTTCTCAAAATTTTAATGTTAATTTTTTGTAACTTTCATAACTTAAAATCTTTAACAAAAAAGTAAAAAATATAGGTTACAAATGGTTGAAAGAAAAAAAATTTACTCTTTTAAACCTTATCATATTTTTAACATACTTTATATAATTTTAATTTAACAAAAAATCAATGATCCATTAAAACAGGACATAAACAATTTTAATAATGTAATAAAAAATTAAAAATATAAAAGATATCATAAAAAAGGAAATAAAATTTTAAAAAAATTATTAAAAGGAAGTATATAGTTCCATTTAATAGATTTTTTCAACATTTATTCAGTTTAATTAAAAAATTTTAAATTTAAATAAAAAGAAAGGTATAGAAAATAACCAAAAATATTTTTTAAAATAAAACATATCAAAAAAAAAAAAAAAAAAAAAAAAAAAAAAAAAAAAAAAAAAAAAAAAAAAAAAAAAAATATATAGTTAAATCTAGTAATTTAGAAAAAATTATTAAATTCTTATTTTTTTTTTTTTATTAAGATAAATTTTTGTAAGATAATTCTTATAATTTTATTTTTTTGTATACATAAAAATTTAAGTTTTTTTATAAAAGTAAAAAAAAAAAAAAAAAAAAAAAAAAAAAATATATAGTTAAATCTAGTAATTTAGAAAAAATTATTAAATTCTTATTTTTTTTTTTTTATTAAGATAAATTTTTGTAAGATAATTCTTATAATTTTATTTTTTTGTATACATAAAAATTTAAGTTTTTTTATAAAAGTAAAAAAAAAAAAAAAAAAAAAAAAAAAAAACATACAATTAATATATTTACATATATGTATATATATATATAGTATTTTTCCTAAATTAAGGTAATAAAAAAAATTAAAAAAGAATTTTATAAAAATTTCTTTAAATATAGCATTTTATTAAATCTGAAAAAAAGGTATATCTAAAAAATGTGCTAAGAATACTGATTTTAATTTTTGTTTTTTTTTTTTTTTTTTTTTTTTTTTTTTAACATGTAAAATTTTATAATAAAATCATAAGAGAATGTCTTTATTTGAAGGAATGTCGATTAAATCTTCAGATCAGAAAGGAAAAGGAAGAAATTCAACACCTAATAAGGTTAATGAAATAAAAGAAATAAAATTACAAAAAAATAATGAACTTTTATATGGAAATAATTTGAGAATAAAGAAAGTTTGTACTAATATTTTTGAAGAAAAAAGTGAAGATATTTTAAATTATAGAGAAAATGAGAAACGTCATGAAAAATATAATAATTTATATGAACTCAAAAAAAATAATTCCATTTATGATTTTGAAACTTTATCTGATTGTTCAATTTATGAAAATATAAATAATAAAATAGATGAAACAGACATATATAAAAATGTAAATGGAAATGAAAAAAAAATCAACAATAATGAAATGACACAACGTTATGATAATTTAAATGAAATAAAATCAAATAATTTTAACTATATAAAAAATAATGACAATAATTATAATTATTTAGAAAAAAAATACTGTGAAAATATGAATAATAATGTAGGTAAGCAAGATGAAAATAATTATTTGATAGATATACAAAATAACTATTCTTTAGTAGTTAAAAAAGACACAAAAGATGAATATTTTTTCTTAAAAGAAACAAATATTCAAAATAAAGAACAGCTTTATAATTATAAAGATCAATTAAACTATTTTTTAAATATTGTCCTAAACATTTTTAATGATATGAAAAATGTTAACTTTAATTTTTTAAAAAATATTTTTCAAAAATTATACGAAGATAATGTAAATGAGAACATACTAATTATTTTATACTTTTATATTTATCATTCTTATATTTGTAAACAAATATACAATTTAAAAGCCGAATATAATTATGATAAATTAATTTACAAATTATTATTAAACATTCATAATATAAGAAAAAAAAGAAAAAGAGATAAAGAAAAAGAAAAAATTCTTATTATAAACGAAAAATTAGATGTTGCAGATATAATTCAAAATAAAATATTGAATTACAATACTATGTTAATGAAAATTGAAGATTACATTATTCATTTATTTAAAAAAAAAAAAAACATCTATAATAATAGTTTACTTTTGAAAATTTATGTTTGCAATATGTTTAAAATTATTATACGTAACATTTATTTGAAAAAAAAAAAAGAGAATAAAAATCAAAAAGAATATATTGAAAAAAAAAGAAAAGAACTTCATGATGAAGAATTGAAAATTTTAGAAAAAGAAAAGAAAATAAATGATGAAGAACAAAATATTATAAAAAAAAAAGAAAAAATAGAAGAAGAAAATGAAAATGTAAATAAATGCATAAATGATGTTTCGTTGAAATATGACGAGCAGTTAAACACGCTTAAAGATAAAATATGTACTATCGATGATGATATAAAAGAATTAGAAAAAAAAATTGAATTAAAAAAAATTGAAAAAATGGAAGCATTAAAAAAAAGAGATAATTTAGAAAATGATAAGAATAAAGAATTAAATATATTACTATTAAGAAAATCAGAAATAAATGCAAATTTTAATTTTCTAAATAATTCAATATGTAATATAAATGAGAAAAAAAAACAAGTTGATGAAGGAAAAGAAAAAATGAAAAATATGTCACACCATTTGAAAACTATATATGAAAATTTTTATAAAAAAAAAGTTTTTACAAATGTTTTAATTATAAAATTACAAAAAATTATTCAAATTTTATATGAGAACAATTATATAGAAGATGATAAAAATAGTTTTATTAATATATTTACTAATGAAAATACAAATCCTCAATTAAATGAAGTAAATATAAAAGATTTTGAAGAAGAAAATAATATAAATTATGAAAATGAAATAAAAAAAAAAATAGAAATGGAAAATTTAAATGATATTATATCAGACATTAATAATGTATCTGAAAAAAATTTCTTATATAGTTCAAGTAAGGAAGAATCTGAAAATATTAAAAATGATAATATAATGAAAAATAATAAAATTGAAAAAAAGAATAATATAAATGAATTTACAATCAGAAAGTACATGAGCACTTATAATTTAAGTATATCTAATTCTTTAAAACAAATATTTTTTTTAAAAAAAAAAAGATTGAAGTTAGAAAAAAATATTAACTTCATAAAAGAAAAAAAAAAGAAATTAATGATTGATATAAATCAACATAATTGCGAAATAGATAATATAAATATTAGAAAAGAAAATTTGAAAAATAAAAAGAAAATTTTACTTAAAAGCAAAATGTTGAATGAGATAAAAAATACCATTAATGAACTTAATGAATTATTAGAAACAGAAAGTGTCTTTTTTAATCAATTAGAAAATTTTAAAGTAGATATGAATAATATGGATAAAAAATATATCATTTTAAAAGAACAAAAAGAAAAAATAAAGGAAAAACTTTTTATTCTTGAAAAAAAGTTGTTAAAAAGTGAAATAACAAATGCTAAATTTTATTTGAGTAAAATAAATAAAATTAATTCTCAAAAATTGAATGATAAAGATTTAACAAATGAATGTAATGAATATAAAAAGAATGGAGGAAAAAATGAAAATATAGAAAAAGAAAAAATTGAGAGTGAACAAATAAAAAAAAAAGATGAACAAAAAATGATTGAACAAAAAATGATTGAACAAAATATAATGGAGGAAGAACAAAAAGAGAAAAAAAAAGAAGAAAATATAGAAAATAAAAAAGAGGAAAATATAGAAGAAAAAGAAGAAAATATAGAAAAAAAAAAAGATATTACAGGAGAAAGTGAAAAAGAAAAAGAAGAGATAAAGGATCAAGAAGATTTTGTATTCTCAGAAGATTCTGAAGAAAACATATTAAAAATAAATTTCTCGAAAATTATAGATGAATTAAAAGATATAAGTTCACTTAAAGAATATGATGAATCATACAACGATAATAAAATTAAAAATGATGTAAGTGAAAGTTCATTTCATTGTAACTTTGAAGATAGTTATAAAAAAAAAAAAACCTTCATAAAATTAGATAAAAATGAAAGTAATGAAAATGAAAAAAATAGAAATGAGAATAATGAAATTGAAAATAGTGAAATTGAAAATAATGAAATTGAAAATAATGAAGTTGAAAAGAGTGAAATTGAAAATAGTGAAGTTGAAAACAGTGAAGTTGAAAATAGTGAAATTGAAAAGAGTGAAATTGAAAATAGTGAAGTTGAAAATAGTGAAGTTGAAAATAGTGAAATTGAAATGAGTGAAATTGAAAAGAGTGAAATTGAAAAGAGTGAAATTGAAAATAGTGAAATTGAAAATAGTGAAATTGAAAATAGTGAAATTGAAAATAATAAAATTGAAAATAATGAAATAATTAGTAGTGAAGTTGAGAATAAAAAAATAGAAAAAAATGAATCAGAAATATCTATTTTAATAAAAGAAAGTAGAAAAAATAAGTTGAAAGAAAATAGTCATAAAATTTTTAACATTAATGAAAACAAAGATATAATACAAAATGAAGAATTTAATATAAAAAATAATGAATTACATGGTAATAATTATTATAAGGAATTATTTAATACGTTAAAAAGACTAAATAAAGAAGAAAATGAAACATTTGAGAACATTTTATATAAATACAAAACTTTTTATGTATTAAATGAAGATATAGATTATAACATTTTAGAAAAAGAAATTCAAAATTTTTATAGTAATATGGTGGAAGAAGAGAGAATTTTGAAAATGAAAAGATTAACCATTTTGAATAAAAAAAAAAATGCATTAAAAAAATATTATTATTATGCTTCAGATAATAGTGAAGATGATGAGTTAAATGTTTAAATATAAGGATTCATAAAATGAGCTTAATATATATATATAAATATTTATATATATAAAAATATTTATGTATTTCTTTAATTGTAAAGTTTGTCTAGAATATATGCTATATATAAGTAAAAAAAAAAAAAAAAATCAAAATTTTATTTATATATAAAGTTATAATATTTTAAAAACAAAACTTTTTGAATACAATGATATTATTTATATGAAAAATTAATAAAATTAGTGAAAATGAATATCGAATATTAAAAAGTAAATACTTTATTTATTTTATTTTATCTTTATTTTACGATTTTACAATTTTCTTTTTTTTTTTTTTTTGTTGTTAATGATATATGGTAAATCTTCAAATTTTCATTTAATAATAAAATTGTGTGTTTCGCATACGTTTTTTTGTAATACATACTAAAAAAAAAAAAATAAATTTTTTTTTTTTTTTTTTTTTTTTTTTTTTGCTTTTATGCACACATCTATATTTTGTTCAAGGTAATTATTAAAAGATTTTTTATTAATTAAAGAAAAAATAAAATAAATAAATATATATATAAGCCTTTTTATTTTAGTATTTTAATTTAGTTTTTTTTTTTTTTTTTCAAAGTTACTTATTGAATAATTAGTATTTAATTTATATTTATTAATACACTTTTTATTTGATTTTTTTTTTTTGCTGACTTTTTCTTTTAAATATGTTTTTATAAAATGTCTACTAATAAGCTAAAAAACAGTAATTTATTTAAATTAGAAAGCAAAAATATAGAAAAAAAGGATGAAATAAATAATTTGAAAAAACTCACTAGCATTAAAATAGTTAAAAAAAAAGTAGAAACTAAAAATGAGAAAAATGTAGATAGTATTATAGATAATGGAGAAAAAACAATAAAAAAAAAAAATCCTAAAAAAAAAGATACAGGTGATACAGATAATTTATCACTAAAAATAAACAACGATGAAAATAAAAAAGTTATTGTAAAAAGAATTATACAGAAATTTAATATCAATAATGATGAAATAGATAATAAGTTTAACAATAATGATATAATTACAAAAAAAAATGAAACCAAAAAAAAAAAACTCAAAGAACAATTAAGTAAAACGGATTTCTTACATAATAATAATGAAACAAATGTTGAACCAAATGACGAAAATAAACAAATTTTAAAAGAAGATTCAGAAAATGAAATATTAGATTCATTCATAGAAAAAAAAAGTTTTCTTGTAGACAAAAAAAAGGGAGTTAAAAAAAAAAAAGTTCTTGTTAAAAAAAGCACCATAATTGAAAAATTAAAAAATAATGAAAAGTGTAATAGTACTCTTTTTAACAATTATGACAACGAATTAAATGAAAAAAAAAAAATTATAGAAACTGAAGATTCAGAAAAAATAAATAAAGAGCTAGTAAAACGTAAAGTAGAATTAGAAGAATTAAAAAATCTTCATGAAGCTGAAATAAATAACATTAAGGAAGAAAGAAAAAATGAAGTGAATAATTTAAATATATATATTAAAAACTTAAATGAAGAAATAAATGTTTTAAATAATTCTTTAAATGAAGAATTAAAAGAAAAAACAAAAATTCAACAAATCAATACAGAATTAATGGATGAAAAGTTAAAATTAAAGGAAAAAGTAAATTCGATGAAAACAAAAATAGAAGAATCTAATGAACTGTATAATTTACTTAATGAAAAATATTTAACATTAGAGGAAGAAAATAGATTACTGTTTGAGAAGGACGAACAAAATAGTACAAAAATTAAAAATTTAGAAGAAGAAAAATTAAAATTAGAAAAAAAAATTGAAGAAAAAAATATATTAATTAAGAAAAAAGAAGATATTATAACTAAATATTCTAATGAAATTGAAAATTATAAAAATGTTTTGAAAAACAAAGGAGAAATATTATTAAATAGTTGTACTATAGACAAAAACTCGTCTGATAAGAGTAACCAAAAAGAATATATAAATAAATTATCAAAAGAAAAAAAGGAATTAATACATGCTTTTAAAAAACAACTCGATTTAATAGTTATATTAAAAAAACAAATTAACTTATTAGAAAATAATAAAATATTAAATTTAACTTGTAATGAATTTAAAAAAATTGTTCATGATTAATATAAACAAATTCACATTCTTTAATAAATCCTTTTTTTTTCTTGGCTTATTATTTTAGTTAGTAATATTTTTATTTTATTCGTTTAATTTTTTTCATATATATATATATATTATCTTTAAAGAAAAAAAAAATATATATATATATTTATAAATAGATTATTTTATTGGTGAGATGTTTACAATGTTATTCTTTTTGTAATTATAATAAAATAATAATATTCTAATTATTTTTCTGTTAATATTTGCATCACTTTTTTTTTCTCTTTAATTATTTTATTGAATAATTCATTATAAAAAATGTCATTACAAATATATATGGTCTAATAGGAATTTATTTTTTTTTAAGTTTATGACATTAATAAACATTAAAAAAAATGTAATTAACAAACACAATTACAACTTTAAAAAAAAAAAAAAAAAATTATAAAATAAAACATATTTTAAAATGAATAAATTTACATAAATAAATAAAACATAAATAAATACTACTTTAAAATGTGCTAATATAGTATTAAACTTTATATATTTTAAAAAGAAAACTAGTATAGGAAAAAAAAAAAAAAAAAAAAAAAAAATTAATTTAAAATATTTATATTGTCTGTATTTTTTGAGAGATAAATTTATCTTTGTTTTTTATATTTATTTTATTGATTTTTTAGTTACATAATTTTTTGTTATTTTTTTTTATCACGTATTATTTCTTTTTTTGTTTTTTTTGTTCCTATTTTATATTTTTTATTCTCTTCTATGTTTTTTTCTGTCATCATATTTTTTGTCATAATTATATTTTCTATCATCATACTTCTTATCATAATCATTTCCTCTATTATCAAAGTTATATTTTTGATCATGATCAATTTTTTTATCATTATATTTCTTATCATAATCATATCTTCTATCATATTTTCGATGATCTCCATTACTTTTTTTATGTTCTTTTACTTCATCATATATATTATTTTTTTTAACTTTTTTATAAGTATTTGATGATATACTCCTTGATCTTGAGTTTTCATAGTTTTTGTTTTTGCTTATATTATTTTTATATAGCATATCTTTATTATTATTATTGTTCTTATTATTATTTATATCATTATTTTCATTATTACCTCTTGACTTTTCTTCTTCATCATCTAAAAAAGAGAAAATATATATATTAATATATATATATATATATATATGCTATACATATGTGTATAAACGTATATATATATGTATAACCAATTTTTTTTTTTTTTTTTTTTTTTCTTCCGAATTCATCATATTCTTCATCTTCTGAATCGTGAACTCTTTTTTCATTATTCCATTGAATATCGTAATGTCCTCCTCCCTTTCCTGTTCTTATTTCTTTATTACTTCTAAACTCATTTAATTTTTTACTATATCTACTTTTACTACATATATTACATTTTTCTCTTTTCGCCCAATTTATATTACCACAATCATCACATTTCCAATCATTCGATTTAAAAAATATCTGCTTAAAATTTTTTTTTACTAAAAAAAGAATCAAATATTTATATAAAAAAGGTATAAATTATAAATACAAAATATATTAAATAATACATATTATATATATATATACATATATATATATGAATGTGAAATATACAAAAAGCATATCTATAAAAATTTAACATCTAAAAATATAGAATCTTTAATGAAAGAATTCTTACTACTACTTTTCGGTCGAGGTTTACTACATCTGTTACAGTGAGTTCTTTTTGAAAAATTAAGATTCCGACAGCTTTAAAAACAATTTTTATTAAATTTTATAAATTTATAAAAAGAAAAATTATTATTTATATATATATATATATGTATATATTTTTTCTTTATTAAATATTCTTATTCTCTTTCATTTCTCAATGATTTTTAAAGGTATATTTAAATTTTAATGTTATGAAGTAAAACATTTTTCAATTTTTCAATTTTTCAATTAATAATAAAAAAGAGAAAAAAGGAAAAAATAAGAAAAAAAAAAAAAAAAATAAATAGTGTTTTTACTTTTCATCTGTGCAAATCCAATCTCCTGATTTTAATTTGTCTATAAGGAATTTAAAAATATAATAAAATTGGATGCGATAAATAAATATATAGAAGCCATAAATCTTTATTATAACGAACATATATAATATTTTTTTTATAAGAAGCTATTTTTAGTAATAATTTAGAATTTAATAAAAATTCGTAGTTAATATATCAAAAATAAATAAAAATAAAGAAAGAAAAAATAGTTCACTTTTATTTTTATTAACCTGTATATTTGTGACTCTCCATTATTCTACAATTTTTTTTTCTTCTTATATTTTTTTTTTTCTGAATAATTTTTTCTTAATTATATTAGAATAATTATTTTTAATCTTTTTTTAAGTATGTCACTAATATTTTGTAAAACTCACAATTTTTTAATCATATTTTTTCATTTAAATATACATATATATATATATGTAATTTTAAACAAAATTTCATTATTTAAAAATGTAATAAAATTTTGTTTTTCAAAAGCTTAAAATATATTATAAAATTTTTTGAATATTATAATTATTATTCCAATAAAAAATTTCATCCAATGAAATTTATATTCTCACATCATTAAGAGTAATTAAAAAAAAAAAATTTTCAACTAGATTTAATTAATAATTAATACTCTGTTTTTATTATTTCGTATTTTTTTTTTTTTTTTTTATTAAAAATATTTTCACAATTTTTTATCTATAATATAGTTGAACTAAAAAATATATAGTTTTGAAAAATATTTTTACGAGAGATTTATTATTAAAAACAATTTTTTTTTTTTTCTTTTTTTTTTAAAATAATTTTTAAAAAGATCTTAAGTAGAATATAATTTTTTTTATTTTTCTTTTTTTCTTTTATTCTTTTTTGTATTTTGTTAATTTATAGCAAAAAAAAAAAAGAAAATAGAAAAATTAATATAATTATACATGTTTTTTAAAGAAGTTTTAAAATATTATTTCTGTCTTAGTTTTATTTATTTTTTTTTGTATTTATTATATATATATATATATATATATATATATATATATATATATATATATATATATACATATTTTTTTTAAACAATTTAGTTTATATTTATTTGAAAATGGATTTATAATTAAAATAAAACACATTATCTCAAAAAAACTCGTTTATGCAATTAAAAAAATTTTTAGCACTATTTTTCCTTTTGTGCATTATTATATATATGTTCCCCTATTCCTGTTAAATCATATTCATTATCATTGTCATATTTAACCTAAAAAAAAAAAAAAAATATAAATACATTATAATATTGAAATTAAATGATAAAATAAAATATTTGAGCAAAATTGAATTTTATAGAAGATATAGAGTTTTTAATATTTTTATTTTTTTTACATTAATTTTCTTTTTTTTTATATATCTAGTAATATATAAATTTGATCCTTTAACTGGTTTTAAGCTGAATGAGTGCTGATTTAGCATTTTTTTGTTTGATAAATTTAAATTTCTTTCGTTATGTTCTCTCAATAATTGCATATCAACAATTTCTCCTTTTAAGTAATCACAAAGAGTATTATTATAATAATGCATATATCTATCTTTCCAATAAAAATATAAGCTTAAAAAAAAAAAAAAAGAAAAGAAAAAATAAATATAAATATGTATATTTAAAAATATTCTTTTTTTTTTTTTATATTTACGTTCTTATCCATCTTCTAAATATAGAACGAGGTAGTAATAGATTATACTCAGTTTGATCATCATCTAAATTTGTTTCATGCAATTGTTCATTTTCATCATAATTAGCATATATATTACTAGAATAGTTTATATTTAGCTTATCTAATAGTTGTTTCCTACTTTTTATTAATTTTCTTTTACATACCTTTGATGCATAAAGCATAATCTTATTTTTATTATTTTCCCAATCATTCAAATGCTCAGTTTTATGTTTTTTAAAATTTAAATATAATTCATCTAAAGTATTCCAATCTACCCCATAACTAGAGCTATAACGCCATAAATTTTCTAATCTCTTTTTATTTATTTCTATATTTTTCTTATCCAATTCAAAATTTTCATTTAATTCATTTTTTTTTTTTTTTAATACAAAAGGTTGCAAACGATGATTATATATTAAAGGATTTGGCCACATAACATTTTTATCAGGATAATTGAATTCTTTAAAACTTGAATTTAAATAGTAAATATCATAATTAGATTCTTCATTTTTTTTTTTTTCAGTTAAATTATCATTTAAAATATTTTCTGATTCTTCAAACATATCATTAATAATATTTTTTACATCATTTTTTTTTAAATTTCTTGGACTTGAACATTTTATTTTTATTTTTATATTCATAAATTCCTTTTTAATAAACCTTAAAAGTTCTTTAGGACAATCATATGTATCATTGTTATCATCATAAATTTCATAAAATGATTTTATATACTTATCGTCATCTTCTTCTTCATCTTCATATGGTATTTTGTCTTTAATATTATTTTTATCTTCACATTCTTCTTTAATAGTATCATTAATAAATTCCATGTTTTTATTTTCATTTTGACTATTGTCATCCTCTTTTATCATATTGTTACCTACATTGTTTTCATTTTTTCGTGAAATAAAAAAGTTTCTTCCTCTTAACAGACGTAAAAAATGTTTATTGTTATCCTTCAACCTTAATTTATTTTGTAAAAGTACATTGTTTTTTTTATAAAAAGTAAAGAACTTTACATTTTTAAAAAAAAATAATTTGTCCTGACCTTTTAATATATTCATTTAAAAAATATTTACACAATATGTAAAAAAAAAAAAAAAAAAAAATATTACCTATTCATTTATTAGTTAATATTGAAATAATTTCATTAAATATTTAATTATATAATTTTGGGAGAAAAATATATACATATATATATATATATATATATATATATAAATGATAAAGTTAAACAAGTTTAAGAACAAAAAATGTGATGTCCTTTAAAAAATAGAAAAAAAAATTTTAAAGATTTAACAAAAAAAAAAAAAATAAGATTAATCAAAAATATAATAAAATAATGTGGAAATTATCAATTTTTTATTATAAAAGAACTATTATAATTAAAAATAAAGTAAAAATATTTACATGTATAAAATAAATTTTCCTTATACAATATTATAAAATTATAAATTAATATTGAAATTAATATTTTACGTTTAGAATAAGAATTTAAAGATCTTTAGTCTTAAATGCCATAAAAAATATTTAAAATTTAAAAAATACCAAAAAAATAAACTTTATGTTTTTTAATAAAATGAATACAATTTATATTAGTTTTTGATTATTAGGTAAATGCATATGTCATATATTCAATTTTGTATCCATGTATTAAAGAAAAAATCAAAGTAAAATAAAAAAAATATAAAATTAAAAATAAAATAAAATTTTATGTAAAATATAGTAAATATATGTTTAAAAAAAATGATAAATGAAAAACATATATATAAATATATATATTTTTTTGTATATACTATGATAAAATTAAAAACCACTCAAAAAAAAAAATTTATTTAAAAAATGTAGATATAAAAAATGTAAATATATATATATATGGTATTCTTTTTATATATTTCTTTAACATCTTTGAACCAATTTCCTTTTCTTTACATTAGTAACATTCTTTGGACAGAAAGGCAACAAAAAAATATTATTTGCTTTTTTTATATTATTTGAATTTTTAACATTATTATTTAAAGTGTTACTACTAATATTCAAAGTGTTATTATTATTTAAATTATTATTATTATTTAGGGTATTATTATTACAACTTAAATTAATGTTATCATTTAAAATATTATTATTTAAATTACTGTTATTATATATAGAATTATCAATATTAAATTTGTTACTATCACATATATTATTAATATTTAAACTATGTTCTTTATTATCATTTTTTAAATTACCTGATTCTGAATTTGTTTGATAGTCTAAAGAATTTTTATCCTGACTATCGTTATTTTCTTGACTTTTCTCTTCTGGTTCTTTTGAAATCTCATATTTTTCTTTTTTTATTTGTTCATTTTTTTCACTCTCTTTTTTAATGGTTTTATTTTCCGTTTTTTGTTTTTTATTAAGTTTCGTATTAATATTTGTAATATCTCTTTTTGTTCCTTTTAGTTTTTTTTTTAGCTCTTTTTGACTTTCTTCAATGACCAATTTAGTGCTCTTTTTAGTGCAAGCAGTAAAAAAATTATCAAGACGTCTTTGTGTTGTCGCTTTTCTAGCTTTTAGTAATCTGTTAATATAATTAGTTACTCTAACTTCATTAAAATTATATTCTTTAATTAATAAATCTTTTAATTCTTCAATTTTAGGTTCATTCCAATCTATTTTAATTTCCTCTTTAGTTAAAACTTTTGGGTTTAAAAATGAGTTTCTAGCTTCTTCAAATCTAAAATTTGCAGGAATTTGATATTTATTTTTATCAATATTTTGAATAATATTTTCTATACAATTATATTCCTTTATAAGATTATAAGCAGTTTTTGAACCAATCCCTTTAATAGTATCACAATAATCACATCCACACAGAATGCAAAAATCAATAAATTGATTCATTGTTAAATTTAAGCCTTCTAAAACTTGTTGCAAATTTATTTCAGTTAGTATATAACCTCTTTTACTTGAATTTTTATTTTTATTTTGATTTGAAGAAGCATTAGCGTTTAAATTTCTTATCAATATTTTTGTTCCAAATACTAAAGCATCTGCATCTTCTGTAGCAGTAGCATGAGCAATATTATATTTTGTCAAAAATGCACATTGCGATTCAGCTTCACAAGGAGCTTCAACAACAGGTATTCCCATTAATGTTAATAATTTTTTTGCTTCTTCATTTTGTTTTTTAGTAACTCGTACAGTCCTTCCACTTTGTTTTTTTATTTCTTCTAAATTTCCTTCTTCTTTTGCTTTTTGTAACAATTCTTCTGCTTTTTGTCTTTTTTCTCCTCTTTTTTCTAACTCAGAACCTTTCAATTCTGGTGGTGCTCCGTCAAAAACATAAATTGGCTTTAATCCATTCTCCATTAATTTTATGCTTCTTGACATCAATCCTGATATATGTGAAGTTGTTTCCCCTGATTCATTTGTTAAATTTCCATATTGATCAGAATCTCTTATAGCTATTATAAATTGATAAAGGGACATTGATGCATCAATAGCTATTATCCTCCCCATTAAATTCTCAATTTTTATTTCTTTAATAGCATTTGGTGCTGCATCGGCAATAAATTTTGTTAATCCTTTTATTCCCATTTAATAAAAAAAAAAAAAAAAAAAAAAAAAACAAATATATTTATATATATTTTATATTTTTTATTTATATATTAAAAAACACTCTTTTTATACAAGTTAAAAACATATAAAATAATTCATTTTTAATTTTTAGTAGGAAGGTTATTAGTGTGTTTTAGGCTATTAAAAAAAAAAAAAATTTATATTAAATTTTTTTATATAATATATATATATATATATATATTTTAGATCTATTTTTCTTTTAATAAAGGAATAAAAAAAAAAAATTTAAATATTTGAGAATAATTTTTTTTATCTTATATTAATTCTTTTTTAATAAACATAATTATATTAAATCATTTAAGGAGTTTTGCATGGCATTTTTACATTATATGTTATTTTATCTTTTTATTCTCTTTATATATAAAATATATTTTTAGATTTACTTAATAGAATTTCATTTTTTTCTTTTTAACATCAAATTTTGAAATTTTATATTGTATTCTTATAATACTTTAATGCTTATATATTATTTTTTTTATTAAAAAATATAAAAAAAAATAATAAATTAAAAAAAAAAAAAAAAAATATGCACATATAATATTGGTTTCAACACACATCTGACAATAAATATATTATTATAATTTCTTTAAATGAATTATTATAAAATACATTTTTCCTTTCATTTATGTACTAAAACATATAATATTTAATATAATTTATTTTAATATTATTTTTTATTCGTTAATTTTTAAAAAATATACTACTTTGCAATAAAATGTAGTTAATTTAGACAATACAGATAATATATGCATTTAAACAATTAGTATTGTCTCTTATTAAGTATATAAAAAACTTATTTTTATTAAATTATACAAAATACATTATAAAAATTTAAAATTTCTTTTTTTCCATTCTTTGGTAATATGAATAATTTTATTTTATGTAATTATTATCCACTCTATTTTTTTACTAACATATTTTTAAGAACAAAACTTGAAATGGGTTATTTTTTATAAATTAAGAAATTTATACTAATTTTATATATATTCACTAGATATGTTAATAATTGTTTTTTGATTTAACAATTTTTTTGTTTAAATATATTATAATTACCATTTAAAAATCAAAAGTAAAATACTTAATTACTATTTAAACAAAATATGCATATTTTTAAAATCAAAAAAATAAGTATACAAAAATAAGGAAAGGTATAATTTTTGAAATTTTACTTATTAGACAATTAAATATTTTAAAAAAAGAAATTATCATGCTCATTTCTTTTTTTGAGAATTAAAATAAAGAAAACAATATTAATTTAAAAAGATCTTTAAATTTCCCAAAATTAAATCCTTATAAACTTTTTTATTTTTTTTTTCTCTATATAAATCTATATAATACGTCAGTAAATTTTTTTTTTTTTATTTTTTTTTTTTTTTAACAATATATATTATTTTTAATTTTCATTAAAGTGCAAATTACCTCAATATAGGCTACCTACAAATATATATGAGGTTAAAAAATGTTATGGATAAAGATTTTTTAATTTTTTTTATATTTATGAAAAAATTTATTTCAAAACAAAATGATTAATGGAATTAATAAGATGATAAAATAGATGTAAATGAAGCATTATTGAAGTTAATTCATATTTTTCTTAAAATATCTATGTTTCTTTCTACTATAATCTGATGGTTGTTCTCCGTTTAATTAACATACAACATTTCCTTATAATGTTTTTATTAGATTAAATAAAATATAGAAAAAAAAAAAAAATTAACTAAATATTTATTAAACAAAAGAAAAATATTTATTTGTATCTTAAGAAAAAAACGATATAAAAAGAAATTTTCTTTCTTTTTATTCCTTTGTTAAAATTGGGACAAAAAAAACCACAACTCTTTTCTGTTTTTTTGTGTTAATCTCAGTATTATTTTAAATGAAAAGAATAAGAATTTTTTTTGATAGAAGAAATTAAGTTTTTAAATATATGATGAATTTTAAAACAAAAATAACAATTTTAAGTCTTCACATAATAACTCAGGAGAAATAAAGTATTTTCACTAAGTTTAACAATTATGCGTTAAAATATAGCCCATTCTCAAATTTTAATTTTTTCTTTTTTAATCATTTTGAATTTTAATCTTATAATATGCTAACTTTTAAAAAAAAAAAAGATCTAAAATTGTAAGTGTAATTTTTAGACATTTCGTATCAGAGTAATATTATTGGATAACAAGCTTTTAATTATTAAATAAAACCATATACGAGCGTAATGATAAATTATTATAGTAAGTTAAAAAAATGGAGAGACTTAAATGTTGTAGTTCTTGTATTTTAATTGTGCCTCGTTAAATTATATTATTATTCATTTTTTTCTTGCATGTCTTTTCTTTTTAAACAAATAGATAGCTACTTTTTTTTTTTTTTTTACTATCTCCCTTTTTAAATATTTAAATTTAACATTTGTAATCAAAAGATAAAACATGTTGAAATGTAACTAAAATATGTAGGAAAATATTTTTACTATAATTGTTTTTTTTTTTATATATATATCATTTTAAATACATAAGATCTTAAAAAAATAGTGTTTATTTATGTTATGCTTTTTCAAATATAAGGATAATATATATAGTTTAAGTTATAAAAAAAAATAATATATATAGCTTAATTTGAAGTTACATATACAATACACAAAAATAAAAATAAAATAACTAAATCTTTTTCTTTTTATTGAACACTTTTTTTTATGTTAGTTTAATTTACAAATTCTTTCTATACTTTATTTTTTATACTTTTTTCGTTTTTTCCATTTTTTTTTTTTTTTTTTTGCTCTAATTTAAAAATTACAGAAGTTACATATATCAATATATACATATATATAAATTTCAGTATGCATGTAGGATGCATGTATATTTTAAACTGAAACTTGTCCTTTTTTTATTTTTGATTCATAAAATAATTGTTAATATTATTAACTGTTTTTTAAAATATTAATATAAATATAAAATTTCTCATATAAATAAAAAAGAACTAATTAATTTTTTTTTTAGGTATATAAATTTTCTCAAAAATTTATAATTTTTTTTTTTAACAAATAAATTTTTTCTCTTAAAATAGTATCTACACACTTTATATTTTATTTTACTTTTTTTGTATAATTTTTTAAAATTTGAAAAATAATCTAAATGAAGGGAAAATATGCATTATCCTACTTCCTTATGCTGGTTGTTCTTCATGTTGTAAAGGGGTACAACGTAAGAAATGGTAGCAATGCTAAAAATATAAATAATTCTAACAGTCAAGAAGGAAGTGTTGTTATAAGAAACACACATCCTTTAAATCCAAAAGAAGAAGAAAAGTTAAGAAATATTAATCTTTATAAACAGATGACATTTATTCAAGCATCTGCATCTTCATCAAATATGATGCATGACCAAGAAAAAAATATAAAAGGGAAAACTTATGAAGTTACAGGAGTTGTTAATGGAATAGTGAAAGATCATCCTTTATCTGTTGCATTAGGGGCACAGTATTCTAATTATTTTGATTCCTTAGAGATAATTAAATTAACTAGTAAAAATAAACGTTTTAAATTTTTAGTTAAACCAGGAAAATACTACTTACGTATTTATGGAAATACATATATGACACCAAGTGCTATAAAAATTACTATACCTTGTGAAAAATGTAAACATGTTAATGATAAATATAGTGATAGTATCTATGTAACTCCTTACAAATCTGATCCTAATTTGTTTATTTACAACTGGGAGTTACAAGTATCATGTCCATTGCCTTTGGAGAACATTAACACGGTTCATAACGATGAAGCCGATTGGTCGCATGGTAATAAATTAGAAAATGAATTAAAATTAGATGCATCTGCTGCTGCTACGGCTTTAAAAACTTTTTATGGAATTGAATTAATGGGAATATGGGGTTCTGAATATTCAAATAGATTGTTAAGTGTTATATCTAATTTTCCTGAGTGCATAAAATTAGTAGCCTATGATAAAGTAGCAAGAACTCTTCAAAGAAAACACCAAAAATGGGTTTTAATTGATGACGATCTAGGTGCTTTTAATATGGATGTAGAATTATTTAATGATCCAGAATATGAATATTCTAAAACAGTGCGTGTTTCTACAAAAGCCTTTTCTTTTTCCAAAAGAATGGTTAAAAATCCTGGAAATAATGGTAAATATTTTTCTAGAAGACTAGAAAAGGTAATTATTAGAGCTCTTTTTACACATGATTTCCAATTATTTTACACATATTTCGAACAAAAGCATGGAGTTATATTATTAGATCCAAATGTAAATAGACAGTTGTTAGAACAAATATCTGGATACCCATATACAGATTATCAACCATGGAATCAAAATATGGAAGAGCTAATTGAGATAGCCACTTCATGGGATGAATATCCTAAAGGATTTCAAAAAGTTAAAGGTTTAAAATATTTATTAAGAAGAAAAAATGGGTTAAAACACCCCGTACATCCAACTGCGCCAGCTGTAGCTTTTCCTGGAGGATCAGAGAGAGATTCTTTCCTTGAATTTATGGAATCAGCATTTGTGAATTATAGAGATATTTCTCATTTAGTACTTCATGAAATCGGACATTTTATTTATGTAAATAATTTATCTTCTGAATATAAAAACGAATGGATGGAGTTAGGAAAATGGTATAAAGAACCATTATCTCCAAGCCAATGGGCTTCTAGATTAGAAGTAGAATTCGTTTCAGCTTATGCTCATGACAAAAATCCAGGAGAAGATTTTTCAGAATCAATAGCTTCATTTGTTTTGAATCCAAGATTATTAAGTTCTAGATCTCCTAAAAAGTATAAATGGTTAAAAGAAAAAGTATTTAGTGGTAGTTTTTATACTACTAGTGGAACCCACTTATTTGAAGTTCTAAACTTAGGTAATGGGGTATTTTATTATCCTGGAAAAGTTAAAAAGGTACATGCGAAAGTTATCGGTAGCCCTACCGAAAATAAAAAAATACAAGTAGATATATTTTTATTATCTACAAAAGGATTAGATGGATGTGCAAAACATGTATATTCTAGATTATTCTCTGAACAGCAAACATATAGAGATGTATATTTTTTTCCTAAAGATGGAGCAGAATGTAGTCATCATTTATATGGAGAATTTAACATGAATCCTAGTGAAAGCAGAGGTAGATGGGTGTCTGAATCATTAACATTTACTGGATTAAATAGCATAAATCGTTATGTTGGATTGGGATCATTTCTTTTTTATATATATATAAATAATCAAAATGAAGATATAGAAAAGCCAATTCCACTTCTAGATTCAGTTTCTGTTTATCCATATAATTCTAGTGACGCAGAAAATTCTCTAATAAAATTGCAAATAATGGTATTAGAAGATAATATGCTAAAAAAAGAAAATGGAACTTATGCAAGCTTTGCATCAAAAGATAATAATAGCTACTCTTACTTCAACTATACATCCGAAATATATGAACCAGAATTTAATTCTAATGTAATAAAAAAAGATTATTTCCTATCAGATATTAGAACTAACGGTTTTAGACAGGTAGGCTTGGAATCTTGTAAAGAATATACTGACATGGATATATCAAAATTAAAATGTTTTCAAGTAGTTAATCCTGTTAGTATACCAAAATATTGTATAGGTAGCAGGTTTTATTTAAGACAATTTTCTGCAGAAGATGAAGCAGGAAATCAAAGCATGGTTAATTTTTCGTCTGATAAATTTTTTGCTGATTTAAAAGCTGGAACTGAAAGAGATACACATGAGCCAGTTTTATATAATGTTAAAGTGTCAAGTAAACCAGCAAATAAAAATCACGATGGAGAGACAATTGTTACTGTTGATTTTAGTGTATATGATGACTTATCTGGTATCTATTATATTTTTGTATATTTAAGAGATCCACATGGTGGTATACATAGAAGTGACGTCGACAGATCTATGTTACCAAATGATATTGAAATGAAAAATATAAATCACAAAATATTATTACCTAAGGGTTCAATGGGTGGTATATGGATGTTAGATGAAATTAAAGCAGTTGATAAATGTAAGAATGAATCAAGAAACATTTATTCTTATAGTGTTTATGTAGAAAATTCTTAAACTTATTTTAATGAAGAAAAAATATATTTATGTCTTTTTAAAACAATTTGTTATTACTTTTAAATAGTCATATATATATTTAAAAATATTATTTCTGCTTTAATTCAGGATAGGATTCAAATAAGAATATATATTAATATTAATAAATAATTACTTTTTTCTTTTTTTTATGTATCTATTAAAATTAATTTTATTATTCTAACATAAAAATGTTTATTTTTTTTTTTTTTTTTTTTTTTTTATTATATTTTTTTGTATATGTATCTAAAAAATTTTTTTAATACCTTATTTTTAAAAGAATAAATATCGAAAGATAATTTTATAAGTTTTTTTTTAAGATAACTTTTTTTATAATTTCATTTTTTCAAATGCAGAACTATAATATTTATATTAACATTCTATAATTCCTTCAAAAATTTCCTGTTTTAATTTACACTCTTTTAAATTAATCCTTAATTTAGAACTTCAAATAATAATGGTAATATTATTTTTTCTTATAGCAAAAATAAGAAAAAAAAAGAAGCATTAAAATAATGAACCAAAAAAATTTAGATATATATATATATATATATTTACAATAAAAATAAACATTTATTTTAATTTTTACTTTTTTTACTTTAGATCTTATTTATTTATATAATTTCTTATAAGTAAATAAAAGTTAAATTACCCAAAACATTTAGATTAAATATTACTTCTAATTATTAAAAAATTAAAGACATTTCCTTTTATTCATCTAGGATAACATCTTATTTTAAATTTTATATAGAATGAACTTGTTCATTTTATAAAAGTTCTTTTAAAAAAATAAAACATATTTTAAATTAAGTATAAGAAACTATGGAATAAAATTAAAAAAAAAAAGAAAGAATCTTATTTCTTTTAATTAATATTTTAATAAAATATATTTTATATTTTTAATTTGTTATCTTCTAAAACTAAGGTTTCAAATTTTTTTTTTAGAGTAATGTATATGTATAAGATATTAAATAGATAAAATAAATAAATACAAACAAAAAGTAATAATAACAAAATTTGTTTATTAACATTAAAAAAAAAAAAATTATAAATAGTAAATTAACCTAACACAATAGATATAAAATAAACATAATATATAAAAATAGAAGAAAAAAAAATAACAAAAATAAAAATAAATAAAGTACAAAATAAAATGAATTAAAAATAAGAATAAAGGTTTTAAATTAACAAGTTAACAAAATAATGACATAAATACTAATATTTTATTAAAATTTTATTAAATAATTTAATAATTAAACTTTAATATACAAATATATGTATACGTTTTTTAAAGAATATCTTTATGTTAAAACAGGACTTCAATTTTTTTGAAATGATTTCCGATAACAAAAAAAAAAAAAAAAAAAAAAAAAAAAATTATTCAGTATTTCTACAAAGTAATACCATAAATAATGATCTGTAATTTTGTAACCCAATTCCTTTTCCACAACCATGAACAGAACAAGCTCTTAAGCTTTTGGCACATTTATCAAATGGTGCTTTTACAAATGGATTAGAAGAATGAAATTCAGCTTTAAAACCAGAGAGAATTGTACCATTGGAAGGACACTCACCAATTAATTTTCCATCATTAAAAGGTTGACTCCGATCAACAGAACCATGAAAGTTATCTAAAGCAACAAGAGATAAGTCATTTACACCAGACCATATTGTTGTGTCGACACAAACAAGATAAATATAACTTTTTTCATTTGAAGAACTCATATTAAGGGAACATTCCTTCAATCCTATAAATAATATATAAATAATATATAAATAATATATATATATATATATATATATTATAAAAAAAAAAAAAAAAAAAAGCAAAAAAAAATAGTAAAAATAAATAAATAACCTGGTCTACAAGGAGTAGCATAAATATATTCAGCAGCGTTACTTCTACTTGATGATGATGATAAACCAAATCCAAATATTATAGAATAATCATTTGGACATTTTGCACTATTAAAAGTTGAAATACTTTCACTTACTACTTGCTCAGAAAATGGCAAAGGTTGTGCTCCACATTCCATATAAAGATAAGCAGAATCATACTTTCTTGAATGTCCTTGTTTCGATGTACAACTACTAGATCCAGGTTCACATATTTCAATGTCGTAACCTTTTAAATTTTTAGTATTATTCCAGAAGTTTTGTTTTAAAGAAAAGCCAAATAAAACCACTTCATTATGTGGGCATTCTGCACTTATAGGAGGGGGAGAAGTCTTAGTAATTGTTGTTGAATTAGTTAACTACAAAAAAAAAAAAAAAAAAAATATAAAAAAATCAAATGAAAATACTAAAGATGAATATTACATTCTTTAAAAAATTAAAAAAAAATAAAAAAAAAAAAATGGAACAAAAAAAATAAACAGTAATAAATAATAATGAATGAAAAAAAAAATTTGAAATGTGTTTATTAGTTTTTTTTTTTTCAAGTATTTTTTTTTGTTTATTCTTCATTTGTATATATATATGTATATAAATTACTATTGTAATAATATCCTTATCTTCTTTTTGCATAGTATCATGAGCTGAGTGTCCAAATACTCTAGAATAATAAATTATAGCTTTTTCATAGGAATTTTTTAACTCGTCCGTTTCGAAGATATTAGACATTGGTGTTAATTTAATATTTATAGGCATTGGATTGGTAGAAACTGTTTTGGACCATTCATATAAATTTTCTTCTTTTGTAACATCCTTAATTGGATTTCCTCCCATTACAATTAATGTTTCTTTCATGTTGTAATTTTCATTATTATTTTTGGAAGAATTATTTAAATCTGCGCTTACTGATCCTCCTGAATTAGAAAAACCAAATTGAGCACGAATCTCTGTTTTTACACTGACACCCTCTTTTTTCATTTTTGATATAGATGAGTTCGATACATCTATAATTTTTGTTATTTTACCACCTATATTTTTAAAAAAGTAAGAAATATATAAGTTAAATATTTATTTTAAAAAAAAAAAAAAATAAAAATGATAAACATTTCAAATTTTTTAGTAATATTATACAAAATATTAGAAATAATTTTTTTTTCTTTTTTAATAACCTAATTGGGCTTCGGTAATAATATGAGTACCATATACTTTAAAAAATTCCATCCAAAAATTTACATTTTCACAAGCTTTGTCAGATTTTTTTTCTTCATAAACACCTGAACTACATTCACTATCCTTATCCAATCCTGTAAAATGAGATGGAAGACCATTCAATGCATTACTAAATGCTGTAGTTGTTTTCCTAAAAATTTTTAAAGAAATATTATTCACATAGTATATATCCTTTTTATATATCATAATAGTATTTTTTTTTTAATTTTTAAGTAAATTGAATTTGTACTATTTATATAAATTTTATTAAAATTTTTATATAAAAAAAAAAAAAAATTGAATAATAAAATATATGAAAAAAAAACAATTATTTATTTATTTTTTTTTTTTTTTTTATTTATTTTACCATTCAACATAAGGTGGCAATCCTACTGTATATTTTATGCAATTAGATTTAATAAAATATGTTTTTTTTGATCTTTTAGAAATTTCATTAACAAAACGTTTATAACCAGCAGATGCAGAAAATGATGCTAAACCTATATATCCACCCTCCACTTTTGCTTCTACTGATAAAGTTTTAGTATAATCTGAAATGCTAGAACATTCATTAATCTAAAAAAATAATAAATAATAAATATTAAATTATTATATAAAAACATATTAAGTAATAAGAAAAATATATGTTTATAAAAGCAGAACTATATGTTTTAGTATACCGATTCTACTCTACTACATGCACTTTCTTTTCTTATCCATCCATTTAACGGTTGAAGAGTAACCAAATCATTTGCAATTCCTTCATCACTTAATTCCCATTCCATTATATAAATTTGAGCTCTATATCCAGGATCGGTTAAAGAATCAATTTCTCCTAAAGGATTACCAAACAGTAAATCATAACCAATACCGACAAAATACAATCCTGGAAATACAGTTGGATCATTATACATTATATTTTTATTATTTTCATTTTCATTATTTATTTGACTGTCTTCATTGTTTTCGTGTATTTTATTATGGAATATATTATTAGTATCTTTTATTTTATTTTTCCTTTCCATTTTTTCTTCATTAGTAAAATTATACTTTTTATATTTCTTTTTTTTATGATTTTCTTTTTTTTTCTTGATTTTTTCTTCTGTTTCCATTTTAAGTTTTCTTTTTTTCTTGTCTAAAAGGAAATAATTTATATATTCATTCAAGTATTAAAATAAAAAAATAATATTAACAGGAATATATTATTTTAATAAACTTATTACATTTTTTTTATTTTTTTTTTTTTTAAGATTACCTTCATCTAACTTAGTATCTCCATCTATGTTTCCATCATCATTGTTACTATAACTTTCATCATTATTATTTTCTTCATCATTATTATCATTGAAATCGAAAATATCGTCATCATCTTTTTTTCTATCTTTCTCTTCATCTTCGTCATCTTCTTTATTATAATTTTCTTCATCGTTTTTTTTATCAAATTTATCATCGTTATCTTTTAAAGCACTTTTTGATAGCATTTTTTCTGTAAATTTATTTAAATAAATATATATGAGTATATAACAATTTTAAAAAAATAATTCACGAGAAAAAATAAAGTAGACAAGGTTTTATTATATAAAATCTCAATTTATGATATAAAAATTTTCTTTCTATTTCGATATATAAACAAAATTATTTCTAGCAATAATGAGAATAAAATAATACATTTTCTTAATGATATAAATTATAATTCAGTGCAATTTATATACTTAATAAATTAAAAAAAAAAATATATATATATACAAATAGGTAAAAATAAAAGATTTACCTAGAGAATTAAAAACATCTTTTGAATGCTGTGCAACTTTTTTTGAATTATTATTTATTACTTCTATATTAACAAAAGAAGTATTTTCTTTATTTTTGCACAATTTATTAATGCATAAAATATTTTCATTTTCTTCTAGACTTATTAGATTTTCATTTTTTTTTAAAATAATATTATCTTTCTCTTTTTTTATGTAGTTTTTATTTCTTCCAACATTAATACTATTTAAAAGACTAACATGAAATATGTGCGTTAAAATATATATAATGAAGTAATATTTTTTTATATTTTTCATCTTCACTTCTATATGTACATAGATATGTATTTTTTTTTTTTTTTTCTAATTCTCTCTTTATTAAAACTTTAAAAATGTTAAACATTTCTTATAAATGATTGTAACACATTATTTTAATTCGAAACATAATAAAAAAAATTTTTAATCATATGAAAATCCATTAAATATGAAAATCTAATAAAAAAAAAAATAATGATAAAAAGGCTAATGAGAATCTAAAAAAAAAAAAAAAAAAAGAATGGATCTATATATAGTATAATTGAAATTATACATATAATAAATAAAATTATGAAAAAAAATGTAAATTTGAAAGGAAAATCAAAATATTTTATAAGGGTTGAAATATATATATATTTTGTATATATATATATATGTAACGAATAAATTAAAACAATTTCAAGTAATAAAAAATTTTTATTTTTCCCTTAAAAACTAAAAGGATTTCTAATAAATTTTCTTGAAAAACAATTCAAATAAAAAGTGTGTATCTTTTTTTTCTTTTTTTAAAAGTTAACACATTTTGAAAAAATACGTTTATGAAAAAGGAATAAGAAATTACGTTTCACATACTATATTTTTTCTATAATTCTGCATTTTAAAAATATTAACATAAAAAAAAATAATATAATTTATTTTGTATATGGAAAAAATTTTTTAAAGAAACATTTTTATTCTCATATATAAGAAAAATTGATTAAATAATCCACCAAATCAAACAGTTGTTTAAAAGAACAATAAAGACATAAAAGTGCATGCATGTATAATTTTTACAATAAAAAATCTACAACTTTTTTTTTTGGTTTTTTAATATTTATTAGCTAAAAAATGTTGTATTATTACATACACCATTCAAATATTTAAGATAATATATATAACATTGTTACTTATTAAGAATATTTGCAAATATTTTTAATTTTTTTTTTTTTTAATTCATATTTACATCTGAGGTTTGTATTAATAGATGCATATATTCAACAGAACATACAAGAAATAGACAATCATTCAACATTGTGTCCATTGAAATTTTTGATGAACAATTCTTACAAATGAATTTTTTTTTTTTTTTTTAATAGCATATTATATGAAGAATTTTTTAATATTCATATGTAATGATTTTTCAACTTAATATTTTATTCAGTGTAACCATTTAAACCATTTTTCATTTTTAAATGTTAAAAAAATGGCATAACCAAAAAAAAATTTAAGTTTAATAACTTACACATTGAAATTATTTTGAGGTTCAAAGAATTTATTATTTTCACAATTTTCAAAAAATAAGTACTAAAAAGTATTAATTTTTCTTCTTTTTTTTTTTTTGTTTCCATATCTAGACAAATATTTTGTTATTTATATTTATTGATAAAAATATCCGTATATTTTTATATATATAAGATAAAGAGAAAAAAAGAAAAGGGAAATTATTGCATATTTTTTTACATTAATTTTATTTAATTTAATTTTTATTTTTATTTTTAATTAAGAATTTATAAATAGAAAGAAAAAAAAAAATAAAAAATAAAATAAAAACTTTTAAAAATAGAATGTAATTTTTTTTATAGATATTTGGGTATTTATATTTCTTATTTATGTTTTAATTTTATTTATATATAACTTGAGTCACTTAATATTTCTTTAAAAATATAGATTTTTTGTTTATTAATTTCTTTTAGAAAAGTAAATAATAATTTTGAAACAATTAAATTTTTTTATCTTGTAAACAAATAAATTACAGTATATTTTGTAGAAATATTTACTATAAGAATATAACTTTTTTAAAATTTAATTATATGAAAAAATTAATGAAAAATAAAAATTATATTATTATGTAAAATTATAAAAAAATATATATATTAAAAAAAATAAACAAATAAAGTTAATGTAATTTGCAAAAATCTTCTAAGTTTTTTAACTTAAAGTATTCTATGTAATCCTACCTTTTATATTTTTTTTTTTTTAATAAAAACAGTATATTTTGCATGTATAATATTTTGAATGTGCTAAATCATATTTTTCGTAATTATAATTACAATTGTTATTACTGGATAATTTTCATATTCTTTTTAATAGTATGCTAACTTTTTACATTATTTTATTAACACCATTAATAATAATCATATTCGTCCTCATCCTCATCCTCATATTCGTCTTCATATTCTTCTTCATATTCGTCTTCATCCTCATATTCATCTTCATATTCTTTATTGTTTTTTCTATATGAATGATGTGATTTGTTTTCTGATTTATTTAAAATTGTTTTTCTTTCTACATGTGTAAGGAGAGGAGCTTTTTCTTCACCTAAAAATTTGGGAGGAGATGGACTAGGTTCATTGGAAAATAAAGAAGATATAGCTGATATTGTTCCAGAAATAGAGGTAACAATAGACGAAATATTCAATAATGCTCCAATGAACTGTGAAAAGGAATGTGGATGATTTTTTAATAAATTATTTGAATTTTGTGTATATCTTTCTATGCTATCATTTGCTTCATATCCATTATTATTTTTTTTTATTATTAAATTTTTTTTTTTCATAATTAATTCATTATCTAATAAAAGAGACATAATTTCCTCATCATTTTTTTCATGAACATTGATATTAAATACAAATCTACTAAAAACATAATTTGTAATTGCATAATCCGTATTAAATGAAAATGTTTGTCGTTCTTTATATAAAACATCAGTTAATGAACTAATTCCATCTAAAGGAAACAAATTATGTACTCTATTTTGTATATCTAAAATATCTATTTTATGTTTTTGATCATATATACCTAATTTTTTAGCTTTGTTTATATTTAAATCGTCAAAAATAAAAATTGCCCTAATTTCAGTTTTATCTTTTAACATATAATATTTATATGTTCTTAAAGAATCATCCATAATCTTTTCATTTTGATCTACTAAATTTGATTGGTTAATAATATTTCTTGCTTCATTCAGAAAGTTAATTCTTTTATTTTTTATTATTTCATTTGTTGTAATAGCACAAATATTCTGAATTTTAATAATAAATATTGATAAAAATAGAAAATTGAAAAAGTTTTTCATTTTTGTTAATAATTTATGAACTATAATTTGTTTATATTTTCTTTAATGTAAATTAATTTAACTCTGAGTATTATTCAAAGTAAATTTAAAGCGAATTTTAAAAAAAATACCTAAAAAATAATGTTAAAAATTTAAGGTAATAAAACCAAAAGAGAAAATGAATTTAAAAAAAAAACATCTTTTAAATATTTTTGAAAGTTAATTCAAAATTTTTATATACTCTAACAAAAAAAGTTTTATTGTCTATTTATCTTTTTATATATTTATTTAAAAAAAAAAAAAAAAAAAAAAAGTCATAAAAAAAAAAAAAGAATATTATTTTTTATTATTATTTCTCTAATCAGTTTTAAAAAATGAATCAAAATTTTTAGCTAGATAAATGTAGATTATTCATAGCATATCGACTTTTATTTGGCTAGATGTAAATTTTTTTTTTTTTTAAAAAATTTATAAAACTTTGTAAAAATATAAAAGAACTTATGTTTTTCTTTTAAATGATAAAATTAAAAGTATATGAAGAATTTCAATAATTTTATGTAATGTAAAAATATAATGTATTACATTATTTTCCAAATTGTTGTTTTGAAGAGCAACCGTTAAATAAGATAGTCTCAATTTTCCATTATCAAAAATTTTATATGCATACATATCACTTTCACTTAAAATTATATATAATAATTGAAATATTAAAATAATCATTTAACATAAAAAAATTTATAATAAGGCTATTTTATTTATCGAGTTCAATTTATAAGGAAAAAAAAAAAAAAAACAAATACAGAACCTGCTAAATTTATCTTTATAAGAATAATAACAACTCATATTAATAATCAATTATGAAAAAAAAAATTGTAAAAATACATATGTGCCACAAGTTCTTACATTTTTTAATTTACTTTTAATTATATAGTATTAAAATTGTAATTCCTTTAATCCATTTAAATTTTTTATAATTGCTTTTATTAAAAAATATATATATTTTAAAAAACCGTACAAATGGGATACATAAAAATATAAAGTAATAAAAAAAGTAAAGATTGAAGAATATAAAAATAAATGTATTTAATTTATAACGTTTATTGTGTCTATGAAAGTTCTGCAATAAATTTAATAACATTGTTCATAAAATATATATATATATATATATATTAGAAGAAAAAAAAAATAAATCTTATAATAAATTATAATTTATTAATGATATATTTAAGAGAAAATTATAAAGTTATGATTATTTAAAAATATTTTGTTAAATATTAAAAAAAAAAAAAAAAAAAAAAAAAAAAGGATTATATCCATTCTCCTGTAGAAACTTTTAATATTTTAAATTATGAAAAAGCCCTCAAGTTGATAATTTAAATATTATTAATCTTTTTTTCCATATAAATATATAACGTGCAAAAATAGGTTTTTGAAAAACAAAATAAGTTTCATTTAAGTAGAAAATACATAAAAAACATTTAGAGATATAATAAAATTAATATTAAGAATATGAAAAATTATAAAAATATAGTTAATTGGAAAATGATAAAAGAAGATTATTAAAGCTTTAATATTAAAATTACATCAATAAATAATATGAAAGAGTAAAAAAAAAAAAAAAATTACATATTATATCAATGTCATAAGTAAATTAAACATTACAAAAATATGTGCAGTATAAAAAAATATAAAGTAAAATTCTGAAATCATAATATTTAAATGATAATCATTACAAAAAATGGATTATATATATATGTGTATATAAATTATTTAATAAATAAAAAATATATTTAAAATAACGAAAAGAACCATTTGAAAAAATGTAACAATAATATATAAGAATGAAAAATGTAATTGAAAATTTTGTATTATATATTTTTTGTTTTATACATCTTACTAATTATATATATTATACATACAAGATTGATAATATAATAATTAAAGAAACAAAATTCAGTAATATTTTAGGAAATACAATTAAAAAAGTAAATAAATACTATAAAGAAAGCCATCAAAACTATGATGTATGTAAATATAAAAAGATACCAAAAATTTTAATAGAAAAAAATAAATTTAAAGATAAAAAAATAAAATACATAGTAGGAATAGAAAATACTTGTGATGATACATGTGTATGTGTAATTGATTCAAATCTTAATATTATAATAAATGTTATAATATCTCATTTTAAAATAGTTCATAAATATGAAGGGGTATATCCATTTTTTATTAGTTCTATAAATAATCTGTTTTTAAAACATTATGTAGATAAAATTTTAAATAATATTAGTAAAAAAAAAAAAAAAAAAAATTAATAAATAGAAATAATTGAAAAATTTATATTAATATATATATATATATGATTCTTATTATCTTTTTCTTTTTTTTTTTTTTTTATAGATAAGAAGAAAATTAATTGTTATGGTCTAAGTGTTTGTCCAGGAATAGCAAAAAATATGGAAGCAGCAAAAAATTATATAGAAGAAATAAAGAAAAACAATAAGATTGTAAAAATAAGTTCAGTAAATCATATATTTGCACATGTTCTTTCTCCATTATTTTTTCCTTTTTACACAGATGTGAATACTTATACAAATAGATATGAGTACAAAGAAAAAAATTTAAATAAAATTGAAAATGAAAATTTTATTAATATTAATATGTCTGAAATTATAAAAAATGATAAAAACAAAGAAAAAGTTAAGGAAATTTTAGAAGTTTTAAATAAAAATATTGTAACTAAACAAAAATCAAATAATTTGAATGAACAAGAATTTTTAAATTATGCATCTTATATTCTCAAAAAAGAAAAAAAGGAAGATAAGGAAAACATTAGTGAAAAAAATGAAGATAAGGAAAATATTAATGAAAAAAAGGAAGATAAGGAAAATATTAGTGAAAAAAAGGAAAATGAAAATTTAAATAAATTTTTAACTGGATATCTAAAAGATGGATATATTTGTGTTTTGGTTTCAGGGGGTAGTACAGAAGTCTACATAGTTAAAAAAAATATAAAAAATGATATTTGCATAAGTAAAATTTCAAAGACTGTTGATATGTCTGTTGGAGATATAATTGACAAAATAGCTCGAGATCTTGAATTACCTGTAGGTTTAGGAGGAGGTCCTTTTCTTGAAATGAAAGCAAAAGAGTTCATTGAAAAATTAAAAAGGAAAAAAATGAATGAAGAAATTTGTGATGATCCTTTTCAACCATTTCCAACTCCTTTTTCGCCTAATAATATAATAAATTTTTCGTAAGAAAATTAATTCCTTTTTTTTTTTTTAAATATTTCTTTTAATGTATTATTACTTTTTATTAATTATGATTTATAAAATTATTCTTTTCATTTAACCTTTTTTTTAAACTTTTAGATTTTCTGGAATTTTTAATCATTTAAGTAAAATTATAAAAAAATTAAAGAAGGAAAAATCATTTGAAATAGAAAAAGATAGATATGCTTACTATTGTCAAAAGAATATTTTTAGTCATATATTAAAACAGCTGAATAAAATTATGTATTTCTCTGAACTTCATTTCAATATAAAAAATTTATGCATAGTAGGAGGCGTTGGTTGCAACAACTTTTTATATCAGAGTTTAAAAAATTTAGCTTTGAGGAGAGATAATAAAGAATATCAGATAAAAGAATACAATAAGTTAAAAAAAAGATTAAAAAAAAAAATAAAAAAAATTGGTGAAGAAAAATTTGAAGTATTTAATATATCAGAACATAACCAAGAAAAAGAAAATGAATTAAATTCTTCTTTAGTATGGAAGATTTATTTAAATTATCTATTAAAAAAAAAAAGTAAAGATGATATTTTATCATACTTAAAGTCATTTAATTTTGAAGATTTTATGAAACTAAAAAATAATGGATATTTTCTTTTAGAAGACTCTACTTTTTTAAATAATTCAAGTAAATTTTTTAACTTATATTGATATTTTCTTCATAATAAACTTATAAACAATCTTTTTTCATTTTTCATTTTTCATTTTTCATTTTTAATTTCTTTTAAATATTTTATTTTTATTATATCAAATTATAGATCCTTGGAAGATATATAAAACACCATTAAATCTTAGTAGGGATAACGCAGCTATGATTTGTTTTAACACATTTTTAAATTTGCACAATAAGATGTAATTATATATACTGAATCAATAAAATAATTAATATAAGTACACACACACAAGATTTATATTTTTTTTTTTTTTTTTTTTTTTTTTTTTTTTTTTTTTGTAGCAATATACATCAGGATACGTCTGAAATTAAAATTAAACCAACAGTTACAACTAAATTAGAAAATAATTTTCTTCTTTTATCGGATATTATAATTTTTGATGTGTACGTAGAATATTTTGATAATAAAAAAATATAGCAATGAATTATTATATCATTATAATTAATAATTAAAATATAATTTAGTGATAAACATTATATAATACGTTTAAATTCTATTAAATTAATGAAAGAACTTTAAGTAAAAAATACATTAAAAATATGAAATAAATTGCATGAAAATATATAGAGTAAGTAATTTAAGATAAATATTTTTTTTAACTTAAAAGATTAAATATGTAAATTTAGTAAAAAAATATAGAATATTTTTATAATATATTAATAAAATTTGTATCCTTCATTATAAACATATATATATATATATATATATATATATATATATATATATATATATACATTTATATGTAAAATGTTGAAGAAAGAATTCTTCCACCTTTAAAGATAAAAAAATAAACAGAATAAAGAAATATATACTGATTTGACAAAAAAGACAAATATTTAATTCTTGAAACAGTAATAATTAAAAAAAAATTTTTATTTTTAATTATTATATAAGTACTTAATATGAAATTTATTAAAAACAAAAAAATAATTAAACATTAAAATTACAAAAAAAACATAAAAAAAATTATAGAAAACAAAACAAAAAAAAATAAAAATAAAATAAAATAAATTAATAAATAAAATAAAAACTTTATTAACGTTATTTGTATTATTGCCAATTATTATTATGACCATTTATGTAAATGTAGTTTTATTTATTCAAAAAATAAAGAAAATCAACAATTTAAAAACTTAATGTAATTTTAAGTAACAATTTATAATTTTATATAGGTACAGTAATGATTAATAATAGAATAGTATTTTTTGGATGGAGGAAAAAGGTCTTCTATATTATTAATAAAATTTTTCTTTTCATTTTTAAAAAAGTGATAAAAATTTGAAGTACTTAACATGTTATAATTGTTTTTATTCTTAATAACAGAATTTAAACAAATATGCGGTTGAAAAAAAAATTGTTCATTATAACCATGTAAAAGTTGATAAAATCTCCTGACAAAATAAAAATTTTTTTTTTTATAAAAATATTTTTGCTTAATAGATTTTTTAACGCACAGATAAATATTCCCTATTTCAATATCTTTGTATTTTTTAGAGAAAAAGTTTTCATTTTCCTTGTAATTGTTATATAATTTAAAATGTATATTAATGAACGAGCAACCTATTTTGTGAGGTATTATAAAAATATGATTTTTGTTAATAATTTTAGCTGATAATATGCTACTATGAGATATATTCAAAAATAATTTTGCATTCAAAGGAAACAAAACACTTTCAATATTTCTGTTATATAAATCAATATGAAAATACTGTATAACATTAAGTGGAATATATTTTGAATAATAATTATTTATTTTTGCACCAATAATATCAGATATATGAATTTTTATTTTCTTATTTATTTTTTTTTGTTTATCACTAAAATATATTAAATGTTCATTTTCTTTTTCTTCTGTATAAATTTTTTTTATGGTTGATAATGGATATTTCTTACTATATATATTTAAATAACGAAAATTTTGATGAAATTTATATAGTCCATTTGTACTTAAGTATATCACAGTTATGTTGTTATTTTTAAAATTATTTTTAACATAAATATTATATACTTGAGAATTTATTATGTTATTATCACAAATGAAATTTACGTATAATAAATAATTCCCTTCCTTATTCCCTTTAATAGATAAAAAACTATCTGAGGATGATATTAAATGTTTTGTTATTGTTTTTTTTTTTTTTATTCTTTTTTTTTCAGTATTTTCATACTTTATATAAAGTAAATTTTTACATTCTTTTTTTTTAAGAGAATTAATTTCTTTTAAAATATTATTTTCTGTATTCTCTATTTTATTATTTAACATAATATTTTTATTATTGGCAAAATATTCTAATTTATATGAATTACAATTATTATTATTATTATTATTTAAAGTACTGAAATCAATAAATGCAAATTTATTTTTTAAGTCATTATAAAATTTAGGATAAATATTTAATTCTTGTTTTAATGGTAAATATATAGTGTCATTATGAAAAAGTTTTATTGTATTTACATAATCAGTAGTTACATCAATTTTAAAAAAGTAAAGATTTCTTATTTCTTTTTCTTCTATATAATTATAATTTTTCGTTTTGTATTTATAATAGTTAAGATAATATTTTTCTATCTCATAAAAATCTAAATCAAATTTTTCAAGAGGAATAGAATTTCTTCTAGGAAATATATCGTAATAACTTTCAAATATAGGATATATATGAATTTCGCTTTTTCCTATATTTTCTGTTTTTATTAAGCATATATATTTATTTCTTTCATCAATTTTTAAAACTTTTTGAACTTTTACAACAGAATCATTTTTTGAAAGACATAAAACTTTTGATATAAGGGGATGATCAAAACGAAATGATAATTCTGTGGTTTGATTAAAAGGATATAAAAGTATACTTCTTTCATTAAATAGGACTCCCCTAGAATATATAACTAATTCTAATGTATTTGATAAAATAGATATATATTTATTATGTAATTTATATATTACTTCAATTTGTATATAATACTTATTTGGAATATAGCAATACAAATAATAAAACAAATCCGACAGTACATCACTAATTTGAAATTTATTTTTTATTTCATTCAGAATTTTATAATTTTCCTTCAAATGAAAATCTATGTAATTTATATGAATTTTATTATAGTCACAAAATAATTTTATTTTTAAATCTTTTATATGAATATACTGAAATTTCTTATTATATTCATTAAAAAATTCAATTCTTAAAGGAACTAATTGATTGATTTCAGCATCTTTAGATAACATAGATATTTTTACATTAGATATTTTGCTAAATATTAACTTAATATCTAAATGATCTGTCTCATAAATCATTTTATTTTTTATGGTTAAAGTTCCATCTACCAAATATTTTGAAGATACGTATATTGGAGTACATTTTTTTAAATGATTATCATAATTTAAATTAACAATATTACAAAATTTTTTTTTGTTATAACATAATTTTTCTTCATCAATATAGTTGTTATAAATTTGTATTTTCTTATCTCCTTTGAATGAATAATATAAGTTTTTTGAGGAAATGTTACATATAAAAATTTTATAATAAATGTACTTAGAATAAAATAAAATTAAATTATCATAATTAGTATATATTTTATCATAAAAGTTCAAAAATAAATATTTCTCAAAATAATCAAAATGATTATCATTTTTATAATTATACTTAATAGATAATAAAAACATACTGTTAGTGGAATTCTTAAAATTGTCTAAATCGTTAAAATAGTTCTTATTATGTTGAATATAATTCTCATTTTTGTTATTATAATTTAATAAAATTTTATTATTTGTATTTATTATATTTTTTCTCTTTATTTGTTCAATTTCTAAATAATTTGACTTATTTTTAAAACATTTCTTATGCAAGTCTAATAAATATGGTTCCAATGTATATTGAAAAGTTTCATTTGTTAGTATAACATTTTCATTTTCATCTATCAAAAATGCTTTGAAATAATAATCATTATTTTTATATAATGATATATATGATTCATTTAAAACATTCAAATTTTTCACATTTTTGTCAAAAATTGTTATGTGCATAGAGGAAGGATATTTAAAGTGAATTGAAAAATAGTTTTTTGAATAAATTTCAGGTTTATTAATATTTATCATTTCTACAATTATATTTGATTTTATGTGTTTGTTTTTATTAGGAATGCAATAAATAATATAGTGTTTTTTTATATGGAAATATATGTCATAATAATTTATTTCATCTCTATAATTTTTATATATATTGTTATAATTGTAGTAATTACTCAGTTTTATTTTATTTATATCACTTTTTTTTTTTTTCTTATGTTTCTCATTTAATAATAAGTAATCATAGGTAAATTCATATTCATATAATTTTCTATTATACAACTTCACAGGGTAATGTGTAATATTTTCATAAAAAACGTCATTATTAAATATATTTTTGTATATAACTTTCTGTGAGAAATGTTCAAAAATAGTAAAAAAATTTTCTGCTATAAATAAATTTTTAAATAAAGTAATGTTGCCACTATAGTTTTCATTTAAAAATTTATTTTCTATTATAAATAATTCCTTCGTGTTCGTTTCTGTAAAAATATTTATTTTATATGGGACTCCGTTAAAACCATCATATAATAATAAATTACTCATTTGATTAAATTTTATAAATTTACTGCATACAAAATCTTGACAGAAAAGAATTTTGACTTTTTTATATATTTGTACGATTATACTTTTTGATAGTTTTTTATTTTTTATATATTTCATCTGAATTAATGCACTACTTTCTCTTTTTCCTTTTATTTGAATGAATGCACATGCATCTTTATATTTTTTTTGTAAATTTGGGAAATTATGAAAGAATTTTATCTCAATAGAGTCTTTATCATAATTTATTAAAAAATCATTATTTATTTTATGAAAACATATATTCAATTTTATTGATGTATTATTAATATCTTCTTTTGTTTTGAGATATTCCTTTTTTGTAATTTTAACTAATTTCCTTTTTTTTCTACTTGTATTATAAAGAAAAAAAGGAAATAAGAAGAAATTTTTAGGGAAACATTTTATTCTCTCTAAAAAAAAAATTTTTTCCTTTCTCATAATACAATTACTTAAATAACTTTTTTTTTTTTTTTTTATAAAAGCTAACTTGTTTGAGAAGTCTAAATTCTTAATGTTATAATTCATAAATATATATATGTTAGTAACTTCATTTGTTTCAATGAAATTTTTTTCTACAATAATAGAGTAATCACTAATTTTTTCAAGAATATATATTTTTGAAATAAAACAATTATTAAAATCATATTCATCGCAAAATGACAAGATAATATAGTTAAGTTTATTTTTATTGTTTATATGATCTTTTTTATTATTATTAATATGTAATTTTTTTTTTTTTATTTCAATGCTATTTTCATTAACAACTATATTTAAAAAATTATATTTTTTTATTATTTTTACTACATATTTATTTTTATATCCTCCTTGACATATGTAATAAATTTTTTCATCAGGCACAATAAAAAGAGTAGTCATTATAAAATAACCCTTAATATAACATATTAATGTATTTGATATTATAATTTCTTTATGTATTTTTTTATAACCATTATAAAAAAAATAAAATGAATTTATTCCCTTATATATAGTTATATAGTAATTTACTAAGTTTTCATTATCTTTATATAATGTAAATATATTGAAATTATTTTTATTTAAAGATAAATTCCATTTATATTTATTATTTTTATTATTATTTATATTATACAATTTTCTGTTGTATTCATTATATAGTTGCGTAACACACAGATATCTTCTCCCTAATATAAGATTTATATTATGTTTTCCTTTTATGTTATTTATAAAATAATTTTTAATATAATAATTATCAAAATAATAATTATTTTTGTAATAATAGTGATTTCTCAATTTATATATTTCTTCATGAATAATATTTTTTTCATAAAAATTATTTTTTTCACTCAATAAAAAATTATCCTTATATTTACTTTGGTAAATTGGGTAGAAACAATTAACATTGACTTCTTTTACTTTATAAATATATATAATCGATGAAAAATCTTGCTTGCTTTCTATATTTTTAACTACTATTTTTAAAGTCCTTTCATTTATATTTTTTTTAATTTTTATAATTTCATTCGATAAAATATCATAATTTTTATTTGGTTCAATCTTATACTTACTTTTAAAATTAGTTATATAGTTAATCTCTAAGCATTTCATTAAATTTATATGATCTATATTTTTTTTTATAATGTTTTTTTGATTATATTTTAATAAATGTTGTTCTGTAATTTTTTTAATATCTACACTTTTTTTTAAATTGTATCCATTTTTATGAAAAATATATAGACAATTATTATCAATTACATTATCTCTTTTTTTCAAAACTAATTTAACAGTAGATTCTTCTGGGAATTCTAGTTTATCTGGAAGTAATAGTAAAAGTTCATAAATAAAAATAATCACAAAAAAAAATATATTTTTACATTTATTATGTAAAACTATAAATAATTTTGTTATTCCTGCTTTTTCCTTTGTATCAATTAATAATACATATTCACCTTTAACATATTTTACTTGAGCGTATTTTATATATTGTTTATCAAAATAAACTTTAAAAAAATTACTTTTAGAACAAATCTTCTTTTTATTATCTGAAATTACAAAAATAATTTGTTTGTACTTTTCGTTAACATAAGTAAAAATATAATTATTGGTCATAAATATATGATCAGTCACAATATATTCTACAAAAATACGCTTTTTTTGTTCATTTTTTTTATTAACTCCTACAATATATGACGATATAGATTTACAAAATGTTTTATGTTTATTCAAAAAAATTAATATTTCATTAGAACAAATATTATTAGTAGTAATCCATTTACCTTTATTTTTCTTAATTTTTTTCGATTTCTGTTTTTTTTTTATATCATTTTTTAAATATAATACTTCAAAAAAGTCTTCTTTTAAATAGTACCAGAAATAGCATGAGTCTGAATTAGAACTATAATATTTCAAAATTTTTTTTTCATTTAAATTATTAAATGAAATAATAGATTTACCTAATATAGTTTCATTTTCTATCCCTATAAAGCATACTAAAAAATATCCCAAAAAAAATATTACCATTTTTTTTTTTTTTTTTTATCTTTTAATTATATCTTTTGGATTCAAAACATGAAAAATAAAAAAAAAAAAAAAAAAAAAAAAAAAAAAAAAAAANNGAAAAAAAAAAAAAAAAAAAAAAAAAAAAAGACTAAAAAAAAAATCATTGATTATAGATTTTTTTTATAATAGAGATACTTTTAAAAAAAAAAAAAAAAATGTATAAAATGTGTTAAAAAGAAAAATTTTCTATTAAAAAATATAATTAAAAACTTCCTTCAAATATTACGATCATTCATTAAGTATATAAAATGTATCATTTTGTAGATAAATAAACTTATATTTCCATTTCTTCACAATTTTAAATAATTTCAATTCATATATTTTAATCCTTTTTCTTTAAAATATCTCTCTTCATTCAGCTTATTCTATATTATTTTATATTTTTAGTATTTTTTTTATACATTTTGAAGTGATTTTAAATCCTTTAAATTGATTTTTAGTATCATTATTTTTTTTACTTTAATATACCTTTATTTTTATTTGTAATAGTCGTAGCAAAATATATAATTAAAAAAAAAAGGAGAGAGGAAAATTATTTTACACAAAAAATAACATTTCATAAAATTTTTCATTAAAAAAAATGGAGAAAAAATAAAATAAAATAAAATAAAGAAAGAAATATATAATATAAAAAGTAATTATTTCTTTAATGAAATAAATAATATTGAACAAAATATTAAAACATACAACTTATTATTCAATATTCTCTGGAAAATATAGTATAATATAATTTACATGGGATTGTAAGCATACTGTATTAGTAGTATTTTAAAAAATAGGACAAAAAAAAAAAAAAAAAAAAAAAAAAAAAAGAAAAAAAAAAAAAATAGTTTGATAGAAAAACTAATAAAACATTGTAAAGCATATTATATTAATAATATTAATTTTTTCTTTTTTTATTTTTTTTAGAGTCAAAAATATGCAAAGTCCTCAAGTACATGTAAAAGATATATATTTGATTTTTTATATTTTACTTTGTACTTTACGAAATTGAGCTGTACTAGAAAAATATTTATTTTCATTTTGATCATTTTTTTGATTAACTGACGGATTATATAATTCAATACCTTGTAGAGGGGTAAAAATCAAAGAAGAAGATAAACCTCCAGTCACACCACTTGACTGTATATTCATATTTTTTTTCTTAGAAATATTACTTTTCTGTTTAGTTTGATATTTTAATTTAGTTATATTTGAATTTAGTAATGTTGTATTTTGATCACTGAATATATAAAAATCATCAGTGGTATTTGGCCCAAATGGCAATCTATTAATTTGTTTTCTTAATTCTGTTATTTGAGTTTTTTCTTTTAACTTTCGATATCTTCTTCCTCCTCTTCTTCTTCTTCTTTTTTCATCTGGCATAGGCAAAATTTTCTTTTGTTTCATTGGAAGGGGTTCTTGTAATTTTATTAAATGACTAATAACATTTTCTCTTAATAATAACCCGTATTGCCCCTCTCTATATTTTTTAAAGTAATCTATTCTAGCAGCTAAACTACATTTTCCTGCTAATAATTTAATTGCTTTCTTTTTATAGGAATCTGGAACACTTTGAACAATTTCAGATGAACTTAAAATCCCTATACCGAAGGTCTTATTAACATTACTTAATCCTAAAACTGATTTTTTTGATCCTCCAACAACTATTATATTTTGTGATGATGTAACAGACAAATTTTTTAATGATCCAACAGAACTAATTAAACGAGCTGTTAATGCACTACCTAATAACATAGTTAAATTTGGAGCTAATAAAAACATTTTGCTTTCTAAATAAAGTAAAATCATTTTTCTATTTTCATTTAATTCTAATGCTTCACTACAAAATGATAAACAATTTTTTAGTAAATGATCAGATAACTTAATTCCTGTCGTCATACTAGATGCAACTGTTATAGCCATAACGGTAGTATTTGGTAAGATATCTGAAAAATCAATATTTGTTAGATCAATTTCATTTTTAATCTTACTTACAACACTTATATACTCTAAAGGAGAGTAAACTATAGAATCTAATTCAGGAAATTTTGTTGAATATATATCTTTTACATATTTGTGTATATTTAATATTTCTGTATCTATTTTAATTATTAATTCAATGCATTTTTCAATTAATACTTCTTCTTCATCCTTTTCTTTTTCATTGTCATCTTTTTCTCTTCTTTCTCTTAATGCTTTATTATCATTCATTTGTTCATGTTGCTCTTCTTCTTCTCTTATATAATCTTTTATATCGTTCATCATTTTAAGAAATTCTTCATTATATAATAATTCAGATATTTTACGTTCTTTTTTTTTTTTTCTCTCATTTAAAAATTCTTCAATTGCATCTACTATTTCTTCATAATCATCATTATCTTCAATTTTTTCTTCTTCATTATCCTTTTTTTGGATGTTGAAATCAGAAAAATTATCATCTTCTAATTCAAGATCTTCAAGATCTTTTAAAAAGGAATCAGCGAGAGTTGCCTATAAATACAGATATAAAAAAGAAAATTTTTATAAGAGAAACATTTTTACAAAATTATATATCCATTGAAAATATACAAATAAATATAAATCATAATTATAATATTATATTTTTATAATAAAAAAATATATATTAAAACTCAATATATTTCAAGTTTCTTTTTTTAAAATTATGTGTTAATTTATATATATATATATATATTCAAAAATAATTAATATTTTTATTTCTTCTTTATTACCATTTTTTTTTTTTTTTTACTATCTATATCTTTTGAAATATTTATAAAATAGTTTAAATATTCTGAGATAACTTCCTTTTACATTTTTTCTTTTTTTCCAATTTTATATAAAAAAAAAAAAAAAAAAATTTTTTTTACTTTTATTCTTTACGAATATGTGATATTTTTTTTTTTTTTTTTTTTATTTTTTATTTCTACGTAAGATTTTATTATTTTTTTGGGATAAAAAAAAATTTATTGTATCCTTGTAATTTTTATATTTTGTTTTTCATAAAAATAATTATTGTGAAGCTTTTCAAAAATCCTAAAAAAAAATTATTTTAAAAAAAAGAAATTTTTAAAGTAAATTCATATATATATATATATATATATATTAAAATTTTTATGAAAAATTTTTTTTTTTTTTTTTTTTACTTTACATAAATTTAAAGTTGTATGAGAAAATTATTTATGACAATTTATAAGAATAAAATAAAAATTATAATCCATAAAAATTTTTTTATAAATTTTTATGATTTTATAGAAAAGATTATATATATTTTGTAAATAACAGAATCATTAATTAGTTTTAAAAACCTCTTTTGTTGTACATCATCTTTTTTATGTAGAGAAAATATGCATTAAAAAAATACAAAGAAAAAAAAAATGGAAATAAAAATTTTACATAGAAATCCTGATGATTATAAAAGTAGTACTAGTACATCAAATTATAAGCATATAAGAAGTTTTGATAAAAATATACACCTATTTCAAAGAGAAATAGAATATAAAAGAGCATTAAATGCAACTAAAATTGATAAAATATTTGCAAAACCTTTAGTGAAATGTTTAGATGACCATGATGATTCAATAAGAAGTATCTGTGTTTCTAATAAAAATTTAACAGATCTCTATAGTGGTAGTTGTAATGGTTTTATAAATGTATGGAATATTTTAGATAAAAAATTGATGAGAAAAATAAAAGCTCATGATGGGTTTGTTAGAGGATTATGTGTTAGTTATGATGAAAAATATTTATTTAGTTGCGGTGATGATAAATATATAAAGCAATGGGTTGTTGATAAAAATAAAAATATAAATGAATTAAATGAAGACGATGTTGTACAGCAAGATTTTAGTAACTTTAAATATTTAGAAAACGAAGTAGTACCGAAAAAAATATATGTTTGCAAAAGTGTACCAAACAGTATTGATAAACATTTTTCTGATCCTTTAATTATATCAGGTAGTCAAACTTTAGATGTATGGGATTATTATAGAAATAATGCAATATCTAGTTTTGATTATAATAGTGAATATATATATTATGTGAAATTTAATTATGCTCAACGAAACTTAGTTGGATTAACATTATCAGACAATTCAGTTGGTTTAGTTGATATAAGAAGTAAATCACCTATAAAAAAATTATTTTTAAAATATAGAAGTAATTCTTTAAGTTGGAATAATATGAATCCAAAACATTTTATAGTAGCAAATGAAGATTCTAATTTATATACATTTGATATGAGATATTTAAAAACAGCTTATTTAGTTCATAAAGGATTTGTAAATGCAGTTTTAGACGTAGATTTTTCTCCTATCGGTAATAAGTTTGTTGCTTGCTCTTACGATAAAACAATAAGATTATTTAATAGTGATGAGTCTAAAAGTTATGATGTTTATCACACTAAAAGAATGCAACATGTTTTATGTTGTAAGTTTAGTTTAGATGCAAAATACATTTTTTCAGGAAGTAGTGACATGTGCTTACGAATATGGAAATCATGTTCTCATGAACCTTCAGGAGTTTTATCTAATAAAGAAAAACAAGCTATAAATTACCGAAACAAATTAAAAGAAAAATATGCTTCTTTAAAAGAAATTAAAAGAATTAGAGAACATCATCATGTACCTGCTCTAATTAAAAGTCTATCAGATAAAAAGAAAATCATGCTAGAAGCAAAAAAAAGAAAAGAGAAAAATAAAATTAAGCATTCTAAAAATCCGGATGAATTGCCAATACCAGAAAAAAAAAAAATCTTTGTTACAGAACAATAAAAGAAAAAAAATATTTACTATATATATATATATATTTGTATTAACAATAAATTCACCTTATATGAAAAAAAAAATTTCATGAAATTATAATAATTAATATAATATATGAAGAAAATTTTATGCTCTATTTTGTTTTATTTTTTGTAAATTATGTTATTTCAGATAGTTTATTGCTATTTTGAAGTTTTTTTTTTTTTTTTTTATATGAATTTTATTTTTTTCCAAATTTAAAATGTATATACTCTTTTATGTAGCTTTAATACTTTTTTTTTTTTTTTTAAATTTAAAACTAATTTGATTTTTTATTTATCATTTATCAATTTGTATTGTGAAAATTTGAACAAATTCTTTTACATTTGAAAAGAAAAATATTTGAAGAATAATTTTTTTTCAATTTATTTAAAAGAAATAATTAAATAAATAAAAATATAAAATATATATATATACAATCTTTAAATATAAAAAATTTATTAACAAGACAGGGAAACTATCTTAAAAAAAAAAGTAAATAAAAGACTGCTGTTTATACATGAAATAACAAAATAATTAAAATGAAATATTAACGTACTTTGTGTATTCGTAAAAATTTAATTTTTCTTCATTTATTAATAATAATTCCTTCATTTTGTTTAATTTTTTGTTTTTTTCTTCCCTTTTCATTTTTTTTTTTTAATATAGTTATTTGGAATTTCAAAGCAATCAATTATATTTAAGAAGGATATATAATTATTTTCATTTTTCTTCAATTATTGAAGCTATATACTTTTATTGTTGTTTTATTATAAAATGATCACCTCTTAATCCAGGAAAAGATAAAAAAAAAAAAAAAAAAAGATTTACAATGTCTCAATTAAAATATATTTTTATTTTTTAATAGACATTTACATAATATTTACAAAAATATATTTTATTTTTTTTTTTTTTTTTTTTGGTATATTTCGAAAATTTTGAATTTAATGATAAATTATTTAATAAAGTTAATAATCATATTGAAAATTTAATTTTTATTCTTCTAGCAATTGTCTGATCAAATGTTCCTCTTAATAATCCAAATTCTTTTTAAAAAGGAAATTATTTATAGAATAACAGTATGTTAATTAGATAAATTTAGAATTGAATACAAAGAATATTTAGACACATATTTTCTTGAAAAAATATTATAATGAAGTAAAACGTTTGTGATACTTTATATTATATATCTTTTTCTTTGAGGTATAACTGATTTTATCTCTAGGTTATTATGTCTTATAGCTTATAAAAAAAAAAAATAATCAATATATAAAAATTTATACCTTTTTTTTATTCAAAATATATGATAAACATGATTGATATTGTATATGTGTTATATAAAGAGAAATTCTTTAATTTTAAAGGCTAAAATTATGTTTCAAAATTAAAAAGAAAAAAAAAAAAAAAGATTAAGTATGCGTTTAATTCATTTTATCCATTTTATTCTTTTTCATAAAATTTTAATATTTTTTATAAATTCTTCCAAATCAAAATTTAAAAACCATTTATCATAATTATTTTTTATCTATAATGAAAAAAAAAAAAAAAAAAATGTAGTGTAACAAAATAAAAAGAACTAATTAAAATCTATAAATGTAAAAATAAATTATCACATAAGGCAATTTAAAAAATTTTGAAATATAAAGAATATTTTTTTTTTTAAAAGTACCATTTCCACTAAGTTACTTTTAAAAGAAGAAATTTTTTCTTTTGTTATATCTGTTTTTTTACAGATTAAAACTTCATTAATTTCCTGAAAAAAAAAATTAAAATAAAGATATAGATTATTAAATAAAATATTATTTAATATTTTACTCATTTATTATTTCCTATTTTTTTCTTTATATCATTAATGAAAATTTTAAAAATATTTCATTTCATTTCTTGCAATATACCTTTTTATTTGAAGAAATAACAGTAACAGAAGAAAATAAAATTTTAAAAAAATTATATATATATTTTTTAGCATTGTAATCTCTTGTTAGTAAATTGATAACTAAAATACCATCTTCTTTCATAATATTTTTAATACTTACTATGATTTCTTTATTCAAAAATTTTATGTGGGGACATGTAATGTATAATTCGCAATCATTTATTTTTAAATAAGAATTTTGAGAATTGTTTATATCGAGAAATATAATATCATAAAATTGGGTTTTATTCGAATTTCTTATATATTCATAAGAATCATTTATAATATAATTTGTTACATGTTTTTCATTAGATATTGTTTCATTGGAAAATAAAGGATAGAATTTTTTTACTGTTTCATCTATTTCTATTATATCGAAATATAAATAAAAATCACAAAAAATCACTTTGATAATATTTGATAATACATTAGTACCTCCTCCTAATATGCATATATTTATAAAATTATTTTCCTTAAGAAAATTAGGATCTATTAAAAAAAAAAAACTACAACAAAAATATATATGATACTGACTAGCTGATTCAATATATTCAAAATTTATCTGCTGATCATCTTTTTTTGTATAAATTAATTCTGACTGAACAGTTAAGGGATCATAAGAAAATATCATTTGCCTTTTATAAATTTCTTTATTTTTAAAATAAATCTCTTTTTCTTTTTTATTTTTCTCCATTAAAAAAATAATATCATCTTTTTTATCTAATGAATTTTTTTTTTTTTTTTTTTTAATTTTTTTATTTCCATTAAAGTTCTCCAAAATAAATTCATCTGTTATTAGTATATCTCTTATTATTATACTAGTAGAATAATTCGATTTTTCATGACTAATAATTTTGCAATTTTTTATATTTTCATTTAAAACCATAATTGGAAATTCATTTGAATTGGGTAAAGCTAAATCATTTAAAATATTTTTAAGATCATTTTTGATTGAATCTAATAGTATATTAATAGAATTTCTATCTTCATATAATTCATTATGAACATTATTATTTAACATAGCATCTGAATAAACTTTACTATTTTCAGAACATTTGCTTTGACTAATGTTACTAGGAATATTTTTATTATTATCTGAGCTTATTTTTATATGATCATTTGAATCTATATTTGTATTTTTGTCTGAGTTGCATTTTATAAGATTATTCATGTTAACTTTATTATCATCCTGGAAATTAGGATTTTCTGTAACATTATTTTGGTATATATCATTTTTTTTTTTTATATCCTCTTTTTCGTCTATTTCTTTGTTTTCCTTTACTAAAAAGTTTGATTTCATAACTAACAATAATCTTTTGGTTTGAGCTTTTTTTGCTAATTCTTCATTTCCTTCAGATGTTGAATATAAAGAATGAAATTCATATCCAATTGGAATTACAATAAGAACTGTATTATATTTTATATCTAAATTATTTGAGTCATAGATAATTATATTATACTCGCATTTGTTTATTTTTTGGTTAAAAATGTCTAGAATTATTCTCTTTCCTTTTTTAAAAATATGAAGATTTAAGTTTTCTTGTGTCTGTTTTATTTCTTGTGGTAATTTCCATATTGATACAACCTTCATATTTTTTTGCAAATTTATAAATTTTGCAGTATAATCATTCTTTTCATTGCTTTTGTAAAATGCAAAAACATAAGGATGATATTTAAATTGATTTGTATCTTTTTTAATTAGAAAAGGAATTATTTCTAATTTTATATATTGATTATAAATATTTCTAACAACTTCCTTAATTATATAGTGCTGCGCTAATGTAATGATTATAAAAACATCACCAATATTTAAGTACTTAAATATAAGTGAAAAATAATTTTTAGCATTTTTTTTACACACTTCTTCTTCACTTTCTTCACAAGATAAATATGCATCTAAAAATGCTTTATCAAAAAATATTTTATAGTCATTCTTATTTTTTATTTTTTCTTCTTCTAAGTTCTCCAATACTTTATCAAAACTTTCTGTGTCACTCATATCAATATTTATAAATCTCATTTTATCTCCGTATTTTTTACACATTTTTTCAATAACTACTTCTGAATAATCTAAATTTATGATATTTTGAAAACCATCTTCAAAAAATTCATAACTTATATTGGAGTTACCACAACCTGCATTTATCAATAGGCAATTTTTGTTTATTCTTTTCAAACTTAAATTATCTTTTTCATCACTATTATTAGAATAATTAAACCTATTTCTTATACATTCATAAATAATATTTTTTATATCTTCATAATTACCATACCATTCGAAATTTTTCTTATCTAATATATTGAAGAATCTATTCCAATAATTTTTGTTTCTAAAATCAGAATATCCTGCCGGTAATATTTCCATTAATTTAACATTTATTTTTAATTTAAATAGAAAGAAAAAAATAAAAAAAAAATGAAAAAGACAAATAGACAAATTTATATTAATATACTTCAAAATAAATAATTAAATATATATATATAAATATATAATAAAATTTATTTTAAAAACATTTACTTTCAAAAAAATTTTTTGGGCTTAATGTGAATTATTTTTTTTTCTTTAGTTTTATTTCTTAAAAGAATATTGTAAAAATAATGTGAAAAAGAAATACTTTAATTTATTTTTAAAAAACTTTATGTTGTTTAATATATGATTAAAAAAAATAAAAACAATATGGTTAAGTTTTATTACTTTTTTTTTTTTTTTTTTTTTTTTTTCTTAAATTACAAATATTATATCATAAAAAATATTCTTGTTGTTTCAGAAATATATATACATAAATTTATATATATATGTATGAAATTATTGGAATAATTCGTATGTTTCTTATTTATGATAGATATATATGATGTAGTAAAATCTATTTCATTTTTTTAGTTTACAGAATATTTATATTTTTCAATTTATAAATATTAATATCATATTAATAGTTTATTTATATTTTATTCTTTTATTTTCTTTTTATTCTTTTTTTTTTCTTTTTTTTGTTATAGTACTTAATATAATTTTTATTTAATATGTTTAATAAAACAACATAATTTTTTTTTTTTTTTTTTTTTATAATTTGATTGTGAATCATTTATATTGTAAAAAATGGAACTTATTAATAAAAAAAGAAAAAATATTTATACAGAATTTGTTTTTATAATTTAAGATGGTTCTTTAAAGCATTAATACCATTTAAAATAATTAGCTGCATATTTTTATGTATTACAAGAAAACATTTTAATTTCATATTAATACATCTTCTCTTTTGCATTTTTTTTTTTTTTTATTTTATTTTATAATTTTTTTTTTTTTAATTACATAAAAATATTAGTATTTTTATTCTTTATTTCATTTATATAATTTTTCACTTTTTTCATGTATCTCAGTTTTTTAAATAATATTATTTATTCATTTAAATTTTTTTTTATAAATACTTTTGTAAATTTTTATGTGAATGTTTGTTTAATAATTTTGTACATTGAAAAATTAACTTATATAAAATTTTATGTATCTATAAATGTGAAATATTACTTTAATTTTTTATGTAAATCCTTTTCTTTTATCATAATATAATTTAGCAGATATTTTTGTTATTTATTTATTTTATTTTATTTTTTTTATCATTTTTTATAATATATATTTCATTATTTTATTTTATTTTTTTTTTTTTTTTTTTTCAAATGAAAAAAAATGTTAAGTTTTAAAATATTGAGAAAAATATGTAATGAACATTTAATTTTAGAAAGAAAATTTTTCACAGAAGCAATAAGAGGAAAAGATAAAATAACAAAATATGAAAGAAAAAATCCTTTTTTATTTTACAAAAGAAATATAAATATATCAAGAAAATGTTTAAGTCAGGATCCATATACAGTATTAGGTTTATCGAGAAATGCAACTACAAATGAAATTAAAAAACAATTTCGTATATTAGCTAAAAAATATCATCCAGATATAAATCCATCACCTGACGCTAAACAAAAAATGGCTAGTATAACAGCAGCATATGAATTATTATCAGACCCAAAAAAAAAAGAACTTTATGATAAAACAGGAATGACAGATGATATGAATTTTGAAAATCATTCCTCAAATTTTGAGGGTGGTTTTTCAGGTTTTGGTGATGCCTCATTTATGTTTACAGATTTTGCAGAAATGTTTACCAATATGTCAGGAACAAAAAACACTTCAGTAAGAGGAGAAGATATTCAAACAGAAATTACTTTAAAATTTATGGAGGCTATAAAAGGTTGTGAAAAAAATGTCCGATTAAATGTTAAAGTGTCATGTAATCATTGTAATGGTTCAGGAAAAAAACCAGGTACAAATTTAACCATCTGTAAAGTTTGCAATGGTTCAGGTATACAACGAATGGAAAGAGGTCCAATAATCATCGGAGTACCATGTAGAAATTGTTCTGGTAATGGGCAAATTATTAATAACCCTTGTAAATATTGTTCTGGTAGTGGTGTTAAATTTCAAACAAAAAATATAACATTAGATATACCAGCAGGAATTAAAAAAGGAATGCAAATGAGAATTCCGAATCAAGGACATTGTGGTTATAGAGGAGGTAAATGCGGTCATCTATTTGTAACTATAAATATTGAACCTCATAAAATTTTTAAATGGATAGATGATAATATATATGTTGATGTTCCATTAACTATTAAGCAATGTTTATTAGGTGGTATTGTTAATGTACCAACTCTTAATGGTAATATGGATTTATTAATTAGACCTAAAACTTACCCTAATTCAGAAAAAATTTTAAAAGGCAAAGGACCATGTAAAGTTGATTCACATACTAATGGTGATTTAATCATAAAATTTAGTTTAAAAATGCCAGAAAAATTAACACCAAGACAAATTGAATTAATTGAAGAATTTAACAGAATTGAATTAAATTTACCAAATGCTCAAAATATCAGTAAAAAAAAAAATAGTTACGATACAAAAATTAATAATAATGAGATATATGATAATGAAAAAAACGATAATTCCAAATCAAACAGTGAAAAATTGAATAATGATAAATTAAAAAATAATGAAAATGAAAAATTTATGAAGGAAAAAACCATTAATAAAAATAGTTACGGTAATAAAGAAGTAAATAACAAAGGAAATAGTAATGAACAAATTAATATAAATTCGAATAATAATAAAAATAATTTTAATAAAAGTGATAGTAACAATAACAAAAGCAATGAAAATTCTACATATAATGAAAAAAAAGAAGAAAAAATTATCCCTGAGCCTCCTTTGCCACACACAAAAAAAAACATAAACAATTTAGAGAATAAAATTTCTTCTAATATACCCATTCCACCTTTACCTCCCAAATCTTCTTCCAATTCATTAAAAGAAAATAAAAAAGAGAATGAAATTAAGGATGAAAAAAGTAAATTACATAACTTGAATGCTAATTCTTATGATAATTGTACGAATAACATACAAAATAATAATATGAATAATATTAATGACAATAATAAAAATAAATTAAATAAAAATGTGTATAATTTCAGTAAAAGACTAAAAGAATCATCTAATTTTTTTGATCATATTAGTAGTAATAATAATAAATCAGAAAAATCATATGAAAAAGATAAAAATGAAAAAAATGATTCTTCAACTTTTTCATATGCTAAAAAATGGCTTACTAACAAATTCAAACCAAAAAATTAACAAAATATAATTATATTTTTGTTCTTTTTGTTTTTATCTGTTTTTAATTTTTCCCTTTTACTATATATATAATTTTTTTTTTTTTTTTTTTTTTTTTAATATACTTATATATTTTTAAATTAAAATTATATATTTTGATTTATTTTGATTTATTTTGATTTATTTTTATTAATAATGCTTTTAAAAATATATATATATATATATAAAAACATTTAAATAATAAAAACTCTTTTTATAAAAATAAAATTTATCAAAAATTAAATTTCCAATTTAATAAAATAAGAAAAAAGAAAAGCGTAACGAAACAAATCATATTTTAATATAAGAAATAGTAAATAAAATATAAAGTTTAAAACTTTTTGAAATTTTAACTATATGAAAGAGAAATATATAAATCTATATGGGTGCATACTGTATGTTTTTAACACATTTATATTAATATTTTAGTATTTTACTTTATTAATATTGTAGTTAATTAGAAAAAAGTTAATACTTCAATAATTAATGATTAAATAGAAAAATTATTTTTTTTTTTTTTTTTTTTTTTTTTTCCTATATAAATACAAAAAAAAGTTATAACATTCCTCGAGAAGAGGACAATAAAATACCATGTATGTGTATCATTTCTTCTTATATTAAAAAAAAAAAAAATGAAATAATAAAAAGAACGAATGAATAGACATTATAAAAATTATAAAAATGAGTAAGTTACAAAGAAAAAAAAATAAAATAGAATAAAAATAAAGTATTGCGGTAAAATAGGATGAATACTTTATATTATTAAAGTAAAAAACAAGACATTCCAAATAAATAAAATTTTGATTATATTTAAAATGAGAAACAAATAAATTAAGAATTTTAATCATTTTGATAATTAAGAAGAACTATGAGTTAAAACATATGAAACCTTATAAACAAATGTCATTAAAAATATATATTTTATTACAATAACAAAAATCTGAAGGTAGGAAATTTTCATAAGGTTAATTATATAAAGCAGATTGAACCCCTTTTTTAATAACATATTCAATGTATAATTTATATAAGGATGATATAAAAACGATTAGACTACTAAATGAAACATAAATTAGATAATCAAAATACGACTCTGGGTTTCTATAATTACTATGTAAAATAGATAAAATATATCCGTTAAATTCTAAAGTTATAAATTTTTTTCCTTTTTTTACATTATTAATAACTTTATCTGCAACATAATCTGAATTAAGCGTATTTGTTAAATTTTCTAATTTTTTCGTTATATCTGGTTTTTTTATACTTTCTTGAGCAAAACCAGGTGTATCAACTGATGGCAAAAAGGCATTCACAATATGAATATTAAAATACTTTAATTCTTGATCTAATATATACGTATATGTCCACATAGATGATTTACTCATTAAATAATAAGAAAATCCATATATTGGATATAATACTCCTTCAGTATTTATAAATAGAATTAGACCACTTTTTTTTTTTTTCATATTAATAATAACCTTTGACATTATATCAATATTACCATATATATTTGTATTTATTGTATATATTAAATCATACAATTGTAATTTATTATATTCTCCGGTGGTTACATAAGCAGCATTACATATAAGCACATCAATATAATTTTTTTCTTCTAAATGACATTCTTCTTTTATTATTTTTTGTTTTCTAGATCTAGTAGAATTTGATACAATATAATCTTCCTCATTTTCTTCTATATCTAAACTATTATTTGTTAATGCATTATCAAATGCTTCTTTTATTGATTCTTTTATGCTTATGTCACATTTAATGATATTTATTTTGATACCAAAATAATTATCTCCTTCTTCATTTGATTTCCTTTCTATTTCTTTTAATAAATATTTTTTTGCTTCTTTTAATTTATCTATATTTCTAGACATCAACGTTAAAGTTTTAGGTTTTTCTTTTATAATTCTTTTCGCTAGAGATAAACCTAAACCTTCAGAACCCCCTAAAAACAAAAATAAAATTAAAGAAATAAAAAGTTTATAAAAATTAATTTGAAAAAATAGATAGAATGTAAAGTGAAAAAAAAAAAGTAAAATTATTTTCACTCTTTTTTAAAATTACAAACCTATTATACAAATATGTTTATCACTTAAATTATAATTTATTTGCGCTTTTTTATAATTTGTATATTTAAATTTAAAAATTAAATAAATTAACCCTAAAAGAGTTAAATAAAATATTATTGCTATATTTATGTAGACATTTAAAGGATTCCTATAATTTATAAAAAACAAAATTAATAATAGTTCAAAGTATATATATTTCCTAAAATAATCAAGCATATTCCTAGAGCTATAATTAATAAAAAAAATTAAAATAAATAAGAAAAAGCAAATGAACAATTACAATAATAATGGTAATAATATATTTATCTTACATATGTATATGTATAATTTTTTACAACTTTTAGTAATTTTTATTTAATTAAAACAAAAACTAACTACACGTAAGTTTAGATACTTATCATATACCTAACTATTTTTCTTCTGCTTTATGCTATTTTTTTTTTTTTTTTTTTTTTTTATACTATAAATCTTACCTATTACTTGTGAATAATTAATTATATCTAATGATTATGATATATTTAATATTTATTATTATTAAAAACTTTTTCTTTTTATATATAGTACTATTTATTTTTAGTTTATTTTTTTTTTTTTAAGCAGTTTTATTAATTTTACATATTTACATTTTATATTTTTCTTTCTTTTTTTTTTTTTTTTATTTAAATAATAAATTATCTACATGATTAAGCTTTCTTTTAGATGAAATTATAAAGAACAATAAGTCTACATATATGTATATATAAATATGAAAATAATCTTACATATTTTTCATTTTTTTACTTTTTCAACCAAAAAAAAAACTTTAAAATTTCAAATATATAAAATTAGAAAATAAGTATTTATTATTTTTAGTTAAATTATATAAAAATTAATAAAATATATATATATATATTTTTTTTTTTTTTTTCTTGATTTTTATCTGTTAAATAATGATATTTGTTTAATTTATTTTTTTTTAAACTTTTAATTTTTATTACAACTAAAAATTAAAATGTATTTTATTCTACTTATGTTATTACTATTACTATAATTATTAAAATAAAAAGAAATACATTGAAAAATCACTTTTTATTAAATTAAAAAAAATTAAAACTTGTCAAACGAATAATTACGAACAAAAAAAAAAAAATAAAATAAAAAAATAAAATAAAATAAAAGGAAATAAAATAAAATAAAACAATATATTTTTTGTGTAATTTATTTTGTTTGATCATACAAATAAATATATATATATATAGTTAATAAAAATAAAATAATATACATAATATTAAAAGAAAAAAAGTAAATAAAAGAATCAAAATATAAAGAATTTTTTAAAAAAAAAAAAAAAAAAAGGGTTAGTAATACACATCATGTTAAAAAATAAATAATATATACTTAAAAAAAAATATATCCTATTTTTTATTCATTTTCTGATTCTTTTTTTGAGGTAAAATTTTTAATAGATTTTATTAAATATTTGCAATTATCTACAAGAACTTTGCTTAATGGAATGATTTCTAAAATAGTATAATTTTTTTTTAATTCATCCATATGAGATGTCATATAAGCTTTAACACGAAAAAAAAACTCATTTAATTTGACTTTTTCTACTAAATCAAAGTTTTCAATATTTTCTTGTAAAATATATTCTTGCCTTAATTTCATAAATTCATCAGCAGATAATCCATGCATAATTGTTTTGGCACAATTAGCAAATGCTGAAGCTCTTAATGAATCAGTATCATCAGTAATTTTTAAATTAAGAGAATAATTATAAATTGGAATATTATTTTTGTTACACTTAGAGCAATACATTGATTCAACCGAAGGTGGAGATGAATCTATATCATCTTCTACTACATTTGTAGTCATTTTTTTGTTACAATCAGGACAAGCTGAATAAACAGGAATGGAATTATAAATATGATCTATAAAACCAAAAGTTGTAAAAACTATACCCTTTCCAGATAAAGTATTTTCATTTGCTAAATTAACATCTTTTTTTATTTCCTCAATTGTTTTTTGATTTTCAAAATTAAAAGTATTTGTATTTACATTAATAGAATTATAAACACTTTTCTTATTATCTATCCACCAACCTTTTAAAAAATATGCTTTTTCAATTTCAGGATTAATCTCAATTTTAGTTTTAGGATGTGATTCTAATTTTTTTCCTTGCCATTCACCTATTTTTAAATACTTAAAACAGATAATACAATTATCTTTTAAATCGTTTTCTTCTATTTTTAAGGCATGTTCTCCCCATAATGTTACATTTATTGTTTCATTACTATCGTCTATTATGATTAAATCTCTTTTCTCTTTATACTGTCCTGTTTTTTTTATTAACACTTGAATTATATCTTGAAAGCTAAATACTACACCAATGACATCTACTAGCGAACCTGTATTCATATTTTTGATATTATCAATTGATGAAAAATTATAAATAAACTTAGGAATGTTATCATTTTCTTCTAATAATTCTATAATAGAATTTTCATCTAAAGTAATTTCACAATCATGTTTTAGAGTATTAAATTTCTTATTTGCTGGTTTTATATTTCCTTTACTTATTTTATAAATTTTTCCTACTTCTAAAAAATCATACCATTTATCTACTGCTTTCCCAAAAAAATTTGCTTTTATTTCTCCATCTTCATCACATAATTCTATATTGAATACCTTTCCTTCTTTATTACTAGAAAAAAATTTTCTTATATTATCTTTAGATTGAACTCTTGCTTTTATAATCCATTTTGATGAATATTGAGATAATTTATTTATAGGCATTAAAATTCCGTCATTCATTTTTATTACAGCATTATTTTGATAAGGAGAACATTTTCTATTATTCCTACTTAATGTATTTTCTTTTAATATTTTATCATTTTTTTTTTCTATTATTTCATTATCATTTAATTTCCCTTTTATTTCATGAAAATTATCTAAATTTCCACTTTTTATTTTTTTCATTGCATCATCGCTATTTAAACTAGAAAATAAAACTTCTCTACTATTGTTATCAATAGAAGAATATCTCTCATTTAAAAGTTCTTCACTTCTGTTTAATTTTATCAAATTATTCTGCTTGTGATTATTTGCATTTGTATAATATTTTGCTTCTTCATCATTATTACTAGAACAATTTATCTTTTTTTTATAGTATAAATCTTCTTTTTCTTCTACACATTTATTCATATTTATTTTACTATCATATTCTCTACTATAGTTGTTATCATATGTATTAAAATTATTTCTAGAATTAATTAAATTATTATTTCTGTATTCAATCGTCTTTTCATGATCATACATTCCATTTTCATAAAAAGTATTAGGGTTATTATTACCAATATTAGGGTTTTTTTTTATAATTTCTTGAAAATTATTGTCATCTCTAAAATTATTTGAATTTCTAAGAATTTGATCATATGTATTATTTCTATTTCCTCTAGGATTCCTACTTATATTATGATTATTTTGATTATAATTTTCATTATCAGATGAATTACTATCGTTATAATTATTTATGTTATTTTTGTTATACACAGAATTTCCTTGAAAAACACTCTGATTTTTTTGAGGTGATGATATAATTTCTTTTTTACTTTCATAATCGTTAAAGTTAGATGAATAATTATTAAAATTGAGATTTTCATTATGCATAAAAACTCCTCTATTTTGTGATGACATCTGATTTATCATATATTTACCATTATTATCTATTCGACTATCATGATAATTTTTTGAATTTTCATTATAATTTAGATTGTAACTCTTTATCTTATGTTCCTTTGGGAAATTATCATTTGTAGTATGATAATTAGAATAACCGCTTCTTATATTATTCTCATTATATTCTTTTGGTTTTTCATAATTTTTAGAATTGTTTTCATTATTATATTCTCTAGATTGATAATAACAATTTTTTGAATTATTTTCATTATTATAATCGTTTGTATGAGAAAAGTTTCTTGAGTTATTATTTTCATTTTGTGAATTTAATAAAAAATATGAAATGCTTTGTAAATGATACTTTTTAAACAAATCTTCAATATCAAAATCATCAATATTTAAAAATATTGTAACTTTTTTAGCCAAAATAAAAAGTTTCCCATAATAGTTAGTAATAGAAAAATTTTCAATTTTAATCATTTTTTTTACATAAGATATAGTTTTACCATTATCTTCCATACCTAAATGAACAATCGCATAGTATTGAGGTGGAATAGAACCATCTATTACTTTCAAAAAAGTTTGATTTGCTCCTGCACTCATTTGACTAAAACAAATTAAATTTATTTCTGAATTTAACCATTTTGATGTTTCTTCTGAATCTGGTTGTGTAAAAAACTTATATATAAAATTAGGTGTAGCCTTCGATAAAATCTCTTCGTTTTTATTCATTTTTTTTTTTTTTTTTTTTTTCAATTAGGAAAAATTAAAAAAAAAAAAATTCATAAAATTAAAAAAAATGCATTTTTATAAATCCACATATATTTATATATCAATTATAGATATATAAATATAACTTCATATCAATGTATTAATGAAATATTAAAATATTTTAAACTATTAGAAACTATAAATAAAATACTTTTCTTATATTTACACAAATAAATATTTAATACATATAAAATGTGTTGTGTTTTTGCAATAATATATTTAATTTTTTTTTTTTTCTTTTTTCAAATATATATTATTACAAAAAAAAAAAAAAATAAAAAAAAGAAAAAATATAGAAACGAAATAAAAAAGCAAATATTTAGTTTAATTATATGCATAAAAAGATTATCCTTTAAATAATTATATATTTATAGTAGCTATGATTTGCTATTTATCAGTTATAAAAGTAACTTTATATATATTTTTTTTTTAATGTGTTTATCATTTTTTTTTTTTTTTTTTTAAATAATAAAGAATAAAAGTAAATTTTAAAAAAATACAAGAAAAAAATTTTATTATTTTTTTTTTTTTTTTTTTTTTATATATACACCAAAATTAATTTTAAAAAATGTATTTTAAGAATTACACATAACAAAATCTTAATTAAAAATAGAATATCACGTAAAATAAGATGAAATATTAATTATTCAATTATTTTTTTTTAATTTTTTTTTTTTTCAATTTTTAAAATGATCTTTAAAAAAATTAGTGTAATGTTTTAATAAAAAAAGACCAAAATAATTCTTAATAATGAAATAAAATGATGAAAAATATATAAAATGAATTTAAACAAAAAAAAAAAAAAAATAATAAAATAATATTTATATAAAAACAAAAACAGAAAAGTATATGTATATAAATTATAGAATAAAAAATTTTAAAGATATACATAATAGATGTTATTTGCAATTTATAATGTATTTTTATTTTTTATGTATTCTTCTTTATGTAATATTTTTTATTTATATAAATAGTATCAACTGCTTAACTAAAATTAACAAGGTAAATAATTTACATATTTTTAAAAAAAAAATATTTTAATTTTTATTAATATATATATATATATATATATATAATATATTTTCTCTTTAAGGATACAAGTTACATAAGTTTTACATTTCGAAAAAAAAAGATAGCAAAGGTTTTTCGTCCTTTATGTTCTAATAATTTATCAAAAAATAATTTAGAGGAAATTAAAAAAAAATTAGAAGATATAGGAATATTTCAAAAGGATATTGAAGAAGTTTTTGTTAAAGGTTCAGGAAAAGGTGGACAAAAAGTAAATAAAACAAATAATTGTGTTATGATAAAGTATAATGATAATTTACATAAAATAATTATAAAATGCCACAAATATAGGTATGATAAAAAGTAAATTTATTCTTCTGTTTATTCTTTTAAATATATATATATATATATATAATCAAATTTTTTTATTATAATTTTTCTTATATTTAAAACTTAATTGAATCTTCATGTATTTTTATTTAATTTTTTTTTTTTTCCTTAAAGATGTTTACAAAAAAATAGAATTTATGCACGAAAACTATTATACAATAGAATTTTCTCAATTAAAGACAAAATTGAAAAGGAAATTTCTTATCAAATTGAAGTATTTTAAATATAAATTTATTACAAAATATAAAGAAAGTTTTCATTAATAATATATACGTAATATATTTTATTCTATTTTATTTACTTATTAAATATATCTATATTTTTATTAATAGAAAGAAAAAAGAAAAACTTTGAAGCTAACTGAAAAGGAAAAGAACGCATCAATTAATTATAAAAAAAGGAAATCGGCAATAAAAAAAGATAGACAAAAAAACTTTAAATATGATGATATTATCTGAAATTTTTTCTTTTTATATATACAATTCTTGAATTTTCTTCTTATGAATTTAAGAAAAAAAAAAAAAGTAAATAATGTATAATTAAAAAATTAACTTAATATCTAAATGAAAAAGAAAAAAAGAATCCTTACTATATTTGTTTAAATTTTTTTAGTTTTTACATTTTGTTTTTTTTTTAATTTTATATTTGTTATTTATATATTATATATTTTATTTTTTGTGTTTTATTAAGTTTCAATTAATATTTTCTTTTTTTTGTATAATTTTTGAAAGAGTTTACTCATATTATTTCATCTTATTTTTTATTATTTTATAATTTAACATAATTAAATTTTTTTATAATATTCCGTAATTTTATTTAAAACATAAAAAAAAATAAAAATAATATTAGCAGTAATTTAATGCATATTTGTATTTTAAGTTTTTAATAATTCAAATACAATCATGCTATAAAAAAATAAAGTAAATAAAAAAATATTTCATTAATTGTTTTATTATTCATTAGTAGAATTAATTAAATAAAAGGTTTTTTCAATTAATTTTATTAAAAATATGCCATTTATGTATATATTAAATTAATGATTGTATAATAAAAAAGAAAAATAATATATATAGTTTTTATTATCCCACTTTTTTTTTTTTTCAAATATTAAGGAAAAATTATATAAATAAAAAATATATTAAAAAATATATTCATAAGAATATATAATAATTGTAAAAATTTATCAAAAAAAAGAGTATTTTATATTATTATTAAATAAAAGTTTTGATATTTTAATATACACTTTTTTACAACTGTTTCTCATTTCATTATATCGAATTAATTCAATTTTTTTTTTTTTTTTTTTTTTTTTTTTTTTTAAAAAAAATTTTTTTATTTTTTTTTTTAA